GGCTCCACAGTTGATGTGCTCGTCGGCTGCGCCTGTTCTCCCTGGAAGTCGGTTTGCAGCAGGTGAGAATCCATGCCTCTTGAGCAAGGTGACCTCTTATTACCGGTGTGCAAAATCCTCTCCTGTGTTTGGCCAGAACTAAGATTCAGTGGGAGAAGCAGAATGGGCCAGGTCCTCCCTCTGTCACCAGACTGTGGTCTTCCACCAGTGGGAAGTAGCCTCTGGGCCACAGGCCTGCTCAACTAGACCTGAGGCTTCTTTCCTTGACAAAGCCTCCGGGGGCAGGAAGCCTGGGCTCCTGGGAAGGGCTGGGCCAGGGCCCATAGGGACCTGGATCGAGAGTGACATAGCTCATGGGAAGTCAGAAGTGTGACCTCTACATGAAGGACAGACTTTTCACGTGACCACCAAGGGGGGAGCTTCCCTGCCCAGGACCAGAGGGCCACATCCTTTCAACCAGCTCCCATGGAGCGAGCTCAGCCAGAGGGTAGGAAGGCTGTGCTGACCGTGGGCCATCTCCACGGTGGGGAGGAGTCTGGCTTGGGTGCCTGGGGCAGCAGGGAGCCATCAGACCCAGAATCCAGGCCTGCAGTGGGAGGTAAAATCCAGAGGAGCAGTCTGGGGAGCGGGAGGGGACCCCAGTGAGCATCTTGATCCCTGCTTGTGTCTGGCTCCTTCAGGGCCTGTGTCCCCTACAGGGCTAGTGGCGTGGGAGGCCCCTGGCTCTGAACTGCCCACTCAGCAGAACTGGAGAGGCCATCTGCTGCTTTCTAGAGGGATTCTGGGGGTGTACAAGTGGCCTAAGAACATTTCCTGAGACCCAGGGGTTTCAACGCTGAGACGCATCGTGCAGAAGAACTCCAAGCTCGGGTGAATCACCCATGTTGACCTTTTGGTTCTCTTCTCTCCCCTTTATCTTGGCCTTCCCAGACCTTGAGTCTTGGGGTGGAATTGTGGTCACTTCTCTGTCACTGCCCAGTTCCTTCCCGCTCTGCCCTTACCCCAGGAAGTGGGCCGAGCTTTGCCTCCTTCCCTCTGAGTGACTGCATTTCTCCTGATGGCACTGTCTCGGAGCTGTGGGTCTTGGACCCTGCTGAACCTGAGCATCATCAGGTCCTTCAGGCCACCCCCTCCCCAGAGGTCCTGCACGTCCAGGGTGAGCCCTGGGGCTTTGTTTTCAGCCCACGTTCCCTGAGGTACTGGTGAAGGTTGGCCGTGGGCTGCTTGGGGCTCACAGCTGATGGCAGGCGGATTCCTCACTGTCTCAGAGTGGTGCTGGGCAGCCGGAAGGAAGGCCGCTCTCCCTGCTACCCTCTGCAAAACAAAACCCCAACACACAGACACGGAATTGCAGGGGACAACAGAAATCAGGGGGAGGAGGGATTCTAATTCAGAGTTTCACACAAAATCTTAACCTGGCCTGAGACACAGGTGACAGGGTCCCCTCTTATTGAGCTCTAAGTTACTGACTATGAGTAAGTCCTGGAGGTACGCAAGTGTCAGAGCCCAATTCAAATCGAGAGCTGATTTCGTTCAACCTTAGAAAATGTTATTTTTAGCTGGGTGTGGTGGCACATGCCTGTCATCCCAGTGACCCAGGAGGCTGAGGCCAGCCTCAGCAACTTAGCAAGGCCCTAACCAACATAGCAAGACCCTGTCTTAAAATAAAAATAAATAAATAAATAAATGAAAAGGTCTGGAGATATGGCTCAGTGCTTAAGTACCCCTAGGTTTAATCCCCAGTATAAGCAAACAAACAAATAGATTTATTTTCATTGTAGTAAAACATGCATAGCTTTGGCCACGTCAGCTAAGTGTGTAGCTTGGCAGGATCCCGTGTGTTCTCATTGTTCTGCCATCTCCAGTTCATGCAATGTTGACAGGTGTCCTCATGGCACAGACGCAGGGGAAGCGAATGCAGAGCCTGGCTCTAGAAAGTTGGCAGGGAGCCAGCTCAAGGCTCTGCTGGTCTCAGAGGGGGAACGGGCTCGAGAGAGCCAGGCCAGTACCTTCCCGCCTCTGAGAGCTGCTTTGAGGATGTTGGGGGTGAAAATGGCTCTCTCCACTGACTTCCCTGGGGGAAGCCGCCTCCCGGCATTGGAAGGTAGCACATTGAAAACCTCTCCTGTCGCCCTGCTGGGTGGAGCTGGGCATTCTGTTCAGTGCTGGGTGAAATGGCAAATCTGTAGGTGACCTGCCTGCACCTCCCCTCTCTGCCTCTCTCCTCCGTGTCCCACTCTCCTGCTCTGCAGATGCTTGCTGGCTGCTGGGATCCCCTCACACACCACTCTCGGGGTTTGCTAGAGACCCCTGGTCGGACCTTGTTCAGGCCAGAGCATCTTGTATTTGTTGTAGAAAAAACAAGTTTGGAATTAGACTGAAACCTGGGATAGAACAAAGAGCTTGACTGTTCAGCAACCCAAAAATGAATGAGAAAAGCCCACCCTAGCTTAGCTAATTCCACTTTGAGAACAAGGGGGTGACGCTGGGCTCCTGATATTTCTGTGGCTACGGTGAAAGGCCATGTCTCTGTTCTCAGACGGAGGTGCCCCCTGTGAAGAGGTGGCAGGGGATGGTGCCAAAGCTCCCATTGTGATCCTTTGCCTTTCTTGGGCACCTCTGGGGGTCCTGGCTGTCCCACCGATAGGCTTGGTCAAGTAACCTACACTTGACCTTGGAGCTGTATTAGTTTGCTAGGGCTGCCATAACAAAACGCCACAGACGGGGTGCTTAAAGACAGGAATTTTCTTCCTCACACTTCTGGAAGTTGGAAGTCTGAGATCAGGTTGTGGTCAGCGTTGGTTCTGCTGAGACTCTCCCCGTGGCTTGCAGATGTCTGTCTTCTCCCCGTGTCCTCACAGGGTCTGTCTGGGTCAGTCTGCCTAGAGGGTCTCTTCCTATTAAGATAAAGCCGTACTCCGTCAGGACCCAAGCTCATGGCCTTAGGGGTCCTCAGTCACCTCTTTGAAAATCTTGTCTATAAATACAGTCACAGCCCAAGGTTCTGTGTCGGGCTGGGTCCTCTCCATGTGACTCTCAGAGGACACAGTTCAGACCATTCGGGGCCACTCCAGCATTCTGGGGAGCAATGAAGCTGAGCTACATTTGCAGGAAGCGTGAGGCGGGTGTGTCACCCAGGCCTGGGGTTGATTTGACACACCTGCCTGACTTGAGTGTGGACCCTCCAGCTCATCTCCAGGTGACCGTTGGTGTACACCCCCCAAATCAAATCCAAGTCCGCCATCTAGTCTCCAAGTTCTCGTCAGCCTTTGATTCCTCAGAGCCACGACAGCCTCCAGACCCCGCTCCAGAGCCCCCGGCAGAGCCCCCATGTTGCGGACCCCAGGGATAATCTCCTTTTCTTTCTCTCTGCGTTATTTTAAACCTAAGGTGAAATTGTGCACCTTGTGTCGTGACCTGCACCTCCCACTGGGCACCTTCCTTTGAATCTGTCTTGGAAATGCAGCTGCAGATCAGTGTGCTCGGCCTTGCCTCGAGCAGGAGTCGTTCTTTGGCCATTTCTCTCACGCACACCTCCCCGTTCACTCCCTTCCCACCACCTTGGGCCCGTTGCTCACTGGGAGTGTTCCTTGGTTTAACCTGATTTCGTTTTCATGGTGCCCGAGCCTGCAGTGTAGATGCAGGGCCTATTTGTTTCTTTCTCATCCTTTATGGCTCATTGGTTTGTTTTTCAGACTGGGGTTTGGGTTCTGCCTTCTAATTCCTAGGCAGGATCCCCGAGGATACCTGGTGGGCGCCGGCACACTGCAGGCCAGGGAAGAGAGGCCTGGTCCACTGCCTGGTCAGAGCATGCACGTGCAAGAGGGTGTGGAGGTGTGGGAAATCAGGGGGCCATGGGAGCTTTGGGGCCGAGGGTCTACTTTGAGGCTGATGTAGAGATTTGCTGATTCTCTCTCCCCATCTCTGGCCGGACCTTTTCTCACACGGGTCTTCATTAGAGTGTGGCACCACTGGTTCCTGATCAGCACTGTCCCCACCCTGACCTGTTGGCCTTGCACGTGGCCATGGCCTTCACCTCCATGTCCTGGAGCATGTGAGTCGCAGACCTCTGTCCTAAATCCTTCCTCTGTCTTCAGGGAGGGGTGAATTGGAGAACTTCCTGGAGGGGTTAACACCAACATCCCACCCTTCCTTTCAGACCCTGCTCGAACCTGTCTTCACTAGAATATCCCCTGACACTCATCCTGCTTAACCTGTCATGTTTTTGCTGTATTCCCTGTGTCATTGACTTTTAAATTACACCGTCCTTTGTGAACCTGGTATAGTGTATGCTTCACAGCGTGAGAGAAGTAACAGCCAACACTCTAGAAATAGTAGCCAACACTCTAGAGGTAATAGCCAACACTAGGGCCATTAATTAGAGCCGAACTATTATGTTCATACTGCATCATTTAAACTGAAAGTCACCAGTGGCAATTATTTCTTCTCTTCTGGAAGAGTTTTTACAAAGAAAATAGTTTAAAGGGGACCTAGAAATAACTACAAATTAATAAAGCCAGTCATGGCCTCCTCTCAAGCCCTGCCCAGCTAGCCCCATGCTGAATATATGTTGGTGTAGAGAAAGTTAACAAAATCTGGAAAAAAAAAAAAGAAGAAGTCAATGTTGTTATATTTCCTCTACTTAAGAATTTTTTTCCTAACCTGTATTAAGATTTTTTAATGTATTAATTAATCTTGTCATTGCTTTCCAAAATGAGCATTTTCCATTTCATTTGCGGTTTTTAAAATATGCCATAACTGTAGAAATTAAAACGTGGTATGATTTAATACTATGGTGCTACTAGCAAGCCAGGGTGGGGGTGTCACTGCCTTATTAAGCATTTAAACTGCCACCTTCTTGACTGTGCTGCGTGCTGTGGCTGTAAGAATCCTCTCTTAGAGTGTTCAGTTTTTTTTTTTTTTTTCTCTTCTTTAAAGGAGAAGGCGGGGCAGAGAAGGCTCCAGTTATAAAAGCCTCCCTCCTCCTGAGAGGGAGCAGACAGCAGGCTCCTTGGGGTGAAAGGAAATCCTGCCTGAAGCCACCACTTACGGTAGGTTCTCAACTTCTGCTTTTCTTCTTTCCATAAGCATTACCCTCCCTGTTACTTGCAGCATTGATTCATGTTTAATGTCTCTGGGAAGGATGTCACTTAGTTTTCCTGTGAAGATTTGAAACGATTTAAAATTCCTCAGAGATGGGGGCATAAGCAAACTGCAGCTGGCAGACACCTCTCCTCATTTGGACTTCTTTAGAAGTACATAAATCTCTGCTAGACTTATGAATGATTTTAAATATGCCTACAGAGTCCTTTTTCTGATTGACAGAGTTTGACATTTCCTTAAGTGAGCTCTAGTACAAAATTCACCGTCAGCTTGGCGACTGACCACCTCTCAGTCTATGTTCTCACATCAGCTGGGGACAGAGTTTAAGTTTTTCTTAAATCAAGACCACGGTGAAACATAGTGACCTTTTTGATGACCCGGGAGAGGGGCATGTTCACCTGGCTCTCACGTGCTGTGGTTCCTGAAGTCACTTTTGTAATATTTAGAAACAAGACCGAAGCACTTGCTTGGATGAATAATCAAAGGTTTCATCTCGGTGTGTCTCAAGTGCTCTGTGGCTGTGCTCGCTTTTTTGGTGTTAAGCTTCTGAAGCCGAGCGTAGAGCTTGTTCCTGAAGTCTCTTCTCTCTGCTAATAGAAGCAGACCTGTGTGATGGGCAGTTCAGCTGATCAGATCTTGAGTGGGAAGAGCTTCCTTTCAAGGTTGTGGCTTTGGGTTGATGATTCTTTAAAATCTGGAACCAAGTTGTTACCGTTTGTGATTAATTTTCCATCTTGCCTAAGGATTGATGTCATTCTCGGCTCCCGTGGAGGCCGGAGGGTCCAGGCTCCTTGGGGACCCTGCCTTTCCCCTGGTTCCAGGAGGCTGAGGCCTCTTGAGCTTCCTCTGCCGTCTGTCCCCCTCCTGTCCCCTGCCTCTCTCTTTGGAGCAGGGCCTCTTGGGGTCAATGACCTTAGGAGCCTCCACGGGCTCTGGCCTTGCTCCAGGTTCCACCCATTTATTCAAACCTCAAAATTTTGGCTGCCAGAGGTAAGTGGAAAGCCAGGTTCTACTCCTGCCAGGGGACAGAGGAGGAGGCCAGGTGCACATCCACCCTGCGGGTCCCTGTGTCACACCACCACCATGTGTTGGGATGGGGAGGAGGACAGCTCCAGAGGGTGTCATTGTATTTGAAATTCTGCAAGTGTCCCATTCACCGTCACCATGAATAACAGAAGGGAGTGGAGGAGGAGAAGGCACGGTTTGGTGCTGGGCCCTTTGGAACACCCTCCCCAGAGCTCTGTTCAGCACTATGTAAGGACGCCTTTCTTATAAAAGGACTGTGTGCTTCCTGCTTGAAAGCAGCATCTTGGGACTGGTTTGGTCCCTGTGAGGGATGAGATAAAAGGCAGTTTTAAAAACATGCCAAATCCTATTTCATTCTGGGACAGTAACAAACCAGACTAATTTTTCCCTGGGCTTAAAGAATGCAAGAGTCTGCTGTTAATGGTGACTTCTAGATTATTGAACATTATTTGTGAGCACCAATAAAAAAAGCAGCAGTGGCCAACCTTTGCTCCAGCAAACAAATGAGGTTCCTAATTATTTAGAGTTTGGTAATATATTAATACAAACGAAATCACAATATATTCCTTCCAAAAGAATCATGGAAGTGGAACAAAGTGACTTAAAGTTTAAAGGTTGGGCCCTCAGGTCAGCCTGCATGGATATGAATCCTCTACTGGATTTGAATCCTGTGACTTTGAGAAAGTCACTAGCCTCTCTGTTTTGTTTATGAGATAATAATTCATTTGACTCACAGGGAGATTGGAAGAACTGGTGCATGAAGAAAGAGCACAGGGCTTGGCACACGGAGGGCGTAACAGGGAGGGTTTGGCACATGGAGGGCGTTACAGGGCACAGCTGCTGTTGGTGCCTGAGGTCTGGACGTGCTCCTGTCCTGGTGGAGGTGTGATTTTCTGTGCTAGCAGAACCAATTGCATTGTTCATAGATCCAGGCTGGATTGCAGAAGGCCCCTGTGCTGAAGTTTGCCCGATGCTGCCTCTTCTGCAACCCTTTAGTTTCGTGCTTGTGTTTCTGAAATATTTGATCATGAGTCATGAGAGCTTTTCATGGCAGTCCTACAATGAGGGGGTGGCTGGCATTACTTGTAGCACCCTGCTGTGGACCATGTTCTCTAAGTGTGGCCCCGAGACCAGTGTCCTTGTCAGCGCCTGCAAATGTACTGTAGATGCTGACCTGGGCCAAGCCCAGAGCTCCCGAGCACAGAGGGGGCCCAGCCATGGGGTTCAGTGAGCCTGGGGAGTGAGCCTGATGCACTTACCTGCGTCCTGGGTGGAGGTTGGGCACATCTTCAGCATCTGGATTGAAGCTGTGAAGACCGTGGATGGTGTTTCAAGAGCCCATTTGATGGCACTTTGACTGAGGGCACCCACCTTGGTGGTGGGTGATCAGATTCCGCTAAATGCATCAGACACATCTGCGGTCCTTGAGACAGAGGTGTGGGGTGAAAACAGGAAAGCAGAGGTTTCACATGTTTCGATAAGTCCCAGGACTGGCAGGGCTCTCAGGTCTCTCCTTGGGGACCCCCTGCTTGGGCCTGCTATTGGGAGGCACCCACTGAGTGTGTCAGTGAAGCCGCTTCAGCCTGTGCTCAGGGTGTTAGAAAAGACAGCCTCGCTCTAGGTAACCCACGGTGGGGCCTAGGATGTTTCTCACCAGGAGACCCAGTGTGTTGGACAAGCATAATTTCCTTCCAATTTCTTATTTTGAAATCATAATAGCTTCACAGGAAGTTGAAAAGAGAGTGCACTGGCGTTCCCTGGACCCTTCACCCAGCAGTAACATCCCGCAAAACCACAGTATTGTGCCAGGACCCAGGGTTGTGCGACTGGCACCACATAGCCCCAGACAGTTCCTCACGTGCTCGTGGTGTGAGCAGCATTTTACCCACAGGAGGAGGAGGTCTGGGTCGTCCCCTCTGCAGGCCTGAGTGGCGTTTGCCCATCACTCAGAGCCCCTGTGTCACCCCTGTGTGCTCCCCAAGCACCTGGTCCCAGCTGCAGGTCTTCCCAGCTGGCCTCTCCAGTGGCCAATGTGGGTTTCGTGTTCCTTTATCGAGGCCCTGAAACTTGGCAGTTGACCATGTCTATCCCTTTGTTTTGGCCACCAGCCAGGTTAACATACAATTTCTAGCACCTTCTCCTCCCCAGGTCCTTAAAACAGGCTTCCCATGTGGCTGGGTGAGCCCTCACTTTCCTGGTCTCTTATTTTACCCTCTGCTCATTTCTTTCCCTCTGGTTCACTACAGGCCAATGAAAATTAATGTGAAGATAGCTTTACTCTCAAAGGCAAAAATATGTATTTTAATCATATGTTAATAAAATACGATTTTAATAATATATTTATAATATAATTTTAATCATATGTTTAATAAGAATAGCTTTATAGTACCAACATGGGCCTAATCCCAGATGAACTGACCACTGTAGGGACGTTGGGTGACAGGAATCAGAGACTGTGACAAGCAAGCACTCCCCATCACTGACTCAGCCTCAGGGGCATGCAGTGAGATGAGCTTGGGGCCTTTGGAACACAATGTTCTGTGTGAAAAAGATACTCAGGTCAGACAAGACAAGAGCCCCGGAAATCCACTGAAGATAAAAGGCGAGGTAGCTTCCAAGATGGCCCCAGGGACGCCAGTGGGGTCCTCTCCTTGAGTGCGGGCTCTATCTAGTGAATTCCCTCTAATCAGGAGGCTAAGGCAAGGGCAATGGCTTTGTGGCTGTGTCTTGCTGGCACACTCTCTGGGCCTTCTCAGTTCTGGGCTTTGACAACCCCCTGTAGCCAAAACCCCCGGGGAAAGCCTCAGGCCCACAGCTGGTGAGGTCTGAGGAGGCCCCCAGCCCTCCAGGAGCCGCGTCCTGGGAAGCACCGCTGTCTTCGTCAATCTGTGCTCCGGCCTCTCCCTCCCACTCACAAAGCTCTTGTGCTCACGGGCCCCTTCCTCTCTCACCACCTCCTTCCCCCTCCACACTTCTCCTATGACTGCTTTTGCTCCTCAGGGAGCAAATCTACTTGGCTTCTCTACATAACTGACACCTCTTCACTCCGAGGTCAGACAAGACAAAAGCCCTGGAAATCCACTGAAGGTAAAAGGCAAGGTGGCTTCCAAGATGGCCTTGGGCATGGAGAGGGTAAAGAGCAGTCTTTGAGGTCTGTTGCTATGAATTTCCCGACCCCTGGCTTTCCCCAGACACCTTACTTACTGTCTCAAAGTCCTAATACTAGTAGAGCAGTAATGCCAGAGCTCTGACTTTCCTGCCGTTCAATCCCTGGGCCAGGTCTGTGCAAGCTGCTCCCTCGGCTCATGGGAAGCTGCCGGGGTACATGGAGAGACTCTAAGAGATCAGGAAACCGAGACCCCAAGAGATTCAGTTGGGGGCTGGTTGGCCGTGGAGCGCAGCCTCCCCAGCTGATGGAGTAAGTCCAATCAGCTTTAACTTCTGGAGCCCCGTTCTAAGGAAGCCACTGACTGGCTTTTTTTTTTCCTGGGTAAAGCAGTGGTTCTCTTATTTATTCCAAGAGACTGGAGCTGCAGGAGTCCCTCTGACTGCCGGGGCAATTAGGTGACCAGAGTGGACCAAAGGCTCCAGAGCAGAGGTCCTTCTTCAGGAGGAACCTTCTAGAACCACAGATGCATAGCTTGATAGACACAGCACTGCTCCTGTGTGGGGTAGGGGTCTGTGAGTCCCCAGCAGTGGGGTGGGGGCTGAGAAGCTCCTTTTAAACTGCTGCTCTAGTCCTGGCTATGACTGAGGCCCCCAAACCTTGTAGTGCTCCATCACGCCTCTGCTGTGGGCAGACTTGCGGTTCTCTGGAGTAAGACTGGGATGGTCCAGAGGAAGGTGTGGAAGGAAAGTGGATTCCACGTCCAGGTGAGATCTCAAAGAATATGATATGGGAAAAATCCAGCGTTCCCCTCAGTAATGACTGTGCTGGTGTCGACCATCTTTCCCTTCATCTTCACTTTCTTTTAGCTCCCTGCTCCCGTCCAACCCCACAGACTCCTCCTCTATGCTCTGCCCTCTGCCCAGTTATTATATGATGTCTCCCCTCCTTGGTCTCTCCCTCTGCTAACATTCAGACACCTCTTCACAGCAGACAGAGCAGCCTCGACCCTCAGCACCCCAGCTCCACCCTGCCGTTGCCCTGGGGAACGAGCCACCGAGGACATCAGGGCGTCCATGTGTTATCCCCATCCTCTCACCTGCTGAGAGGGACACTGTGAGGTCCTGGTTAACTCCACCTGGCCCAGCCTCTAGATATACTTCCTACTTATCCATTGTATTTTCCAGATGACGTAGCAAGAGATTGGGAAAAAAACATAAAAAGTAAAAGGATAAAGTTAAAACCACTCGTGGTCTCACTCGCCCCGTGTAGTGGTGGGTGACCTTTCAATGCGCTGGCTCCACGTATCTGGAGCTTCCTGTCTACATTGGCTTTGGCGTAGTAACCATGGCTGCCTTCACTGCAGGGGCACCGCCTGGGTAAGGAGCTTCTTGCTCAAGGTGGAACCCAAGCTCCAAAGTCAGAGCCTTCACGTACCAGGATTTCCTGCCTCCGTGTCCTCCTATGGCCGCTGCGATACTTGCTGTGACTTACTCATCACAGTCATTTTCCCACATCATCTTACCTCTTGGGTAGAATCCTCTCCTACTGATAGAAACTTAGATCATTTCCAATTTTCCCTTGTACAAATTTCTCAGCAGTGATCATCTTCTGGGTGACCTGTTTACGTGTTTCTTCTGCTGGATTCTCCACAGCCAATCACTGGGGCGACGTGATCACGTGGCAGTGTCTCACTGCATCACTGGCAAAAGGCCCTGCACGGAGTGAAGCAGCTCTCCTGGCCCTCCCATCTGATCACATGACCGCTCAGGGTCTCCACAGTCTGCCCATCACCTGCCCCGACAGCAAATGCTGGCACCCAGACCCCTCCTTGGTGTTCACTGCTCACCGGGAGGGTCTTCATGTGGACTGGAGATCTGTGTTCCCTCGTCTGGTGGGCCTGGACTCTGGCCCCCTGCCTGTCTTTCCCGGGGGCGGGGGGTGGGGTCCTGACCTGCGGGGGCTTCTGTTCCTTGGCACAGACAGGTTGCTGGGCTCCTTCCCAGAGCGGCTTCCTCTGCTCTCCTGCCTCCTGGCTCCAGCCTTTCCGGCTCTCTCCTTCAGGGAGTTTCGTCCTCTGCTCACCCTCTCCGGCGCCCTGGGGCCCTCTCTTCTCACTCCCCCCCATCTTTTCCCTTGGGCCTTGGGCCTTATGGCTCTTCTTCCAAAGGCCTGGCTTCCCTCACTCCAGGGTCTAAATCCTGGCAGAATGTGTTGGGAAGAGAAATAGCCTGTGCACCTAGAAGCCTGCTGTGGAGGGCGTGGTGCAGGGTGCCCAGACCCCAGGGCAGCGGGCACCAGCTGGCCTCTAGGAGCTGGTGAGAGGCTCATGCCCGGGAGACGTCAGGCCAGGGCTGCGGCTGCAAGTCTTATGTGTCTTATGCGGGCTTTCCCATTTCTCATTGGCAGAAATGTGATTCAAAAGCCAGAACACGCTTTTGCCTTTGTAACAAAATAAGCAGTTTTTCATTGTGAGGCAAATGAAATCACTTTCTAAACCTTGGCATTCCGCTTAGGAGCAATTTGCTGTATGGGAGTCACTGTGAATAGATACCTTGCAGGATTGATTTGTGGTTTTACCATAATGTATGTAAAGTACCAATTAATATCAAGTCTCTTGGAAATGCCTGGGGAGAGAAGTAAAAGAATCACTCAGGGATTTAAACAGTCGGGACCGCCCATGTTGAGTGGGTTTTAAAGAAGAGTCCAATCTCTGTGGCTCAGGAGAGTTTGCACCTAGTCTGGGACCTGCGATCTGCATGAGGAGTCAGGCTTACCGGCCCAGAGGTGAGGAACAGAGTGTGGGTGAAGATGCTTCCTGACGGTCCTCACTGTTCCCACACCAGGATACTCTTGTGGGCGGGTGTGCTCTGCACCTGGAGGTTATGGGAGGCAACGTGAGGATAGTTTACAGACCAAAGGAGGATTTTCGAGGAGATGTTGACTTGTTCAAATGATTCATGCAATAAATGGTGTGTGGATCTATCTCCTAAGCTGTGCTCGGCTCTCGGAGTCTAGTGCTGAGCCAGGTGGACATGGTTTTGGCCTCTGCAAGATAATAGGTCAGACAGATCACTGAACAAGTCTTGATGCTAAGGGCATGCTATCCGCCCAGCATGCACAACCTGGGGCGTCTCCCTGGAGGGAGGATAGGTGAGCCTAGATATGGAGGATGGGTGGGAGATGGAGCCATGGAGGAGTGTGGGCCACAGATGGGGATGAGGGGCTCCGGGGAGAGGAGGTGTGTGGTTTCAGGCTGGGGAAGCAGCCAGGCCCCTAGCTGCATCTGTGGGCAATCAGAGAGGCCTAGGGTGGGCTGAGTGTGGTGGGGACAGACAGGGAGGAGTGTGGTCCTTGGAGGAGGGGATGCAGGGCGGGTGTATAGGAAGGATGATGATTTTGTTCTAGAAATGTCCTGTTGACCGCATCTGCTGGACAACTTGGGGAAGTGAGATAGTCTGGTCAGAAGGTTTTTTCTGGAGCTTGGGATGCAGGTCCAAGTTGGAGCTCAGGAGACAGGGGGTCTCCGGAGCTTGGACAAGAGTGTCCTGGTGTGGGAAGAGTGAGGACAGTCAGGAAGCATGTTCAGGACACATGAGGTTCCCTGGCCTGTCCCTGAGCCCAGGAGAAAGTGCCGGCCTCCTGGGGCCCATCCAGCTGCTTCAGAGTCTCAGGTCGTCCTGGGGCACATATCCTCAGGCCCTCTCTGGGGCCCTCTTTCAAGATCCCTTTCCCTCTTTGCTTGACTGGATCAGATCCAGGATTCTCCTGGCCCAGTGGCCATGTCCTATGTCCATGCAATCTGCTAGGTACATCACATCCATCAACCTAGCAGGTAGCTGGTGCTCTAGGAACTAGCTGTGAGGTGCTCTAGGAACGAACCAGACAGTGTTTCCCAGAGCACCCAGGCTGGACGGAGTTGCAGTGTGGCACCATGTGCTCTGCCACTCTGGGGGCTCACCCAGGGGAAGACGTGCTGAAGGGCAGAAAGGCCAGCTGGGTCTCAGAGCCTGAATAGGAATTGGGCCAGAGGTACAATTTCCCTGGTGGGTCAGACAGAGTGTGGGATGCATGGCAAAGAGGAGACAGGTGCTGGATGGAAGGGGTGTCGGGGCTAAGCTCTGAGGGAGACCCTTTTGCTGGGTAACCCACACTAATCCCCAAATCTTCCCAGGCAAGATGTCCTTCGAGGGCGCCAGGTTCAGCATGAGGAGCAGGAGGAACGGCACTCTGGGCAGCACGCGGACCCTCTACTCCAGTGTGTCTCGGAGCACGGACGTGTCTTACAGTGAAAGCGTAAGTCCGGTGCCCGGCCCCTTGCCCAGAGCTTGGGCAGTTAGGATTATTTGGTGACTTGTCTGCCTTCTTTACAAAGAGCCTCTCACTGTCCTCAGGGCGCCATCCCAGCAGGACGCCATCTCCCAACACAAAGGTAGCTCCCTCCCGCAGCCCCTTACTCTCTGGCCATCTCAGATGCTCTCACTCGCCAGGAAATAAAGATAACCCTCCGGGCTGATGTCCAGTTCCCTCTGACTAGAGTTAAAGTCAGGATGTTGGCTGGCTTCGCAGACAAGGAGGAGCAGGAATGGGGAGGGCGGGGTGCTGGTCAGGTCAGTTTGCTCTGCCTGGTGGTCACTCAGGCCTGGCTCTGTGCACAGCTGAAGCCCCTGCCCTCCTCCTCCGGCTGGGGCCCGCCTCCCACGGCCAGGACAGGGCGAGTGCGATGCTCAGGTGTGAAACGAGGGAGGCGCTGTCCTGGGTTGTCTGTCGCCCTGCACTTGCAGCCCCCAGTACTGAGCACCTCTTTAGCGCCTGCCCACATCTCGACTTAGTCCTGCTCTGTGAGAAGCCCAGTACGCAGAGGCTGTGGTGGCTTCCCTGCTGCTCCTGCCCTTTACTCTTCTTCTCTGACCCCAAATAAAGAAGTACCCCCGGAGGAAGGGGCCCTGGCTGGGTCCACTCAGCCTCAGGCATTGGTGCCCTGGGAGCTGGACCAGGGCTGTCTCCTCACGGTGCTCCTGCTGCCCCTGAGGGTGGCCCTTCCCGGGTGCAGGCAGCCCTGGCCGGTGGGATTGCTGAGGCCGCCCAGGAGACTCTCAGTTCTGGGAGCTCCTGTTTGCCCCTAAGCAGACCCCCATACCTCAGCAGAGTGCATTTACAGAGGAAATGATCAGAACCAGGCCATTTTTATCATCCGCCCTCCGCCGTGAGCCTGATTCCACAGCTCACAGGGCTGCTGACTGTTCACATCGTGGGAGGTAGACTCAATTATTTAAGTAAATCAAAAATATTACGAGGAAAAATGGACATCACAGATTTTCAAAATTCTTCCATACAGATGGGCATTGGAACTATTTTTCTGTGAAATTCTCATGAAATTTCCAGCCTAGAGGTCACTGGTAATGCCCGGTACCCACTACCAGCTTGAGATATGGGATGTGGCCGGTGTTTCGGACACTCCCCTGTGCCCTCCCTGTGGGAGGTCAGGCCTTCGCCTCAGAGGTCATAACCACTGTCCTGAATGTTGGGTCACGGTTGCTGGTTCCTGGCCTTTTTAGGGACATTTAGCTTTGTCCACTTTTTGTATTCATGGGATTGAATTGTAAGGACTTTTTGGGTGAGTTCTTTACACTGGTTTTGAGATTAGTGCACACTGATTTGAGCAGCTGCTGCTGATTCATTTCCCCGCTGTGCAGAGTTCTGCCACGTGCCTTTGTCTGTCCAGCCTGAGGGCTGGACTTCCGGGGTTTCTAGCCTTTGCTATGAGGATCGACACCACTCTTAACACCCTTGGGTGTGTTCCCAGGTCTCCTGAGGTGTGTCCTTTGGTTTGAGACCAGTGAGTGGAAGGTGTCTATTTCTCCTTCACGGGGTTTGGTTTAAGAAACAGAATTTGTGGGGGAACCTAGGTTCAAAGGATGGGAAAGAGGAAGATGTGGTGCCCATTCTCTATTTCTCAGGACTTGCCTGGGCAGGGGATGGGGTGTGAGGAGGGACCTCCAGGAGAGGGCCCCCATCCTTGTGTACTGCTGCTGGTGAAGGCCTTGCAGTGGGGAGGAGCCAGGCCTGGCTTCGCTGCCGTCTACGAGGTGACTGTGCAGGAAGCAGTCTGAGCTCTCTGACAGTCAGCACGGGTGCTCTGCAGGGCGTGGATTCGGAAGAGAAACCCCAGCAGCTCCAGCTCCCAAGGTCAAGATGCTCTCTGAAGCCACAACCTCATCACCAGGCATCCAGAGTGTATGGGTCACTGGGGGAACCCCTGCCTCTCTCCACAAGGGCCTGCTCCCCAGGGAAATGACTTGACAGGCAACAGTGGACCATTTTCTGACAAGTTTGTACCAGTTTCTCCACCCTGAGACCCACAGCTCTCCCCTTCACCCTGCAGGGTATCATTGTCTTTTTCACTGGGTGCATGAAATGAGACCCCACTGTGGTTCACTTCGCATTTGTTTCATTAGTGATAAGATCCAGCTCTGTGTGTTCATGGGTTATTTGTGTTCTCTTTTATTCAGTGTCTGCTCTTGTCTCTTGCCATTTTCCCCACAGGGTTATCTGACGTTTTCTTACTGAATTATTATCCTTATATATTCTGCTCACCGATCATATGATGACCAATATATGTTGCAGATATCTTCATTCATTTTGAAGAGTGTGGAAATTTTCAAAGTATTTTTTTCATCTGTTTTCAAATAGCTTGCTTCTGCCAACTTAAAGGCAATTTTTGTTTATAAAGGCTTTGGTGTTTGTCAGAATTAGCCTCAGATATGCCTAACCACCTTGCCCACAGGGGAATAAATACAACCATGGAAGGAGGTTTTGAAACATCTTTTAAAAAGCAAGCAGAAACCTATGCTGATACTATTTTTTTTTTTAAAAAATGCTAGACTATTATGCAGTGCTTACTCTTCCTGGTAGCCTTAGAGACAGAAAAACATGATTCCTAGGTACAAGATAACTCTAAGTAACATTTGGAAACATTTGCATTTAGTTATAAAAATTTAAATGTATGCTCCCTTTAAAACGCCACCACCACCAACCAACAAAATCCTAATGTAGTCCAAAGCATGAGCAAACGTTGGCTGCCTGGGGGGAGTAGTTATAACCTTTGAAGTAGCTTGGATGTATTTAGTATTCATTCATCTCATCAGGAGGCATGAATAAAGCAGTAATGTGTTATCCAATGTTTTTCTCCAAAGGACCTGGTGAATTTTATTCAAGCGAATTTTAAGAAGCGGGAATGTGTCTTCTTTACCAAAGATTCCAAGGCCACGTAAGCTACTGTTTCCCTCCATTTTTGCTTCCGTGTTTAAAAATTAATTATTAGCCACCATTACAACAAACAAATAAAAGCCCATTAGTGCATTATAAAGGTTGTTTTCATCTTGTAATTCCCAGAAAGGGTGTGTGATCAAGAGGATCTGGCAAGTACCTTATAGTTCTTCCCTAATTATATCATTTCCTGTGTATTTTTAGCTTTGATGATAGAGCAGCTGCTGAGGTTGCTGAGAGGGGCCGTCACCCCCTGCAGTACTCCCAGGAGCCTGGGAGCCCACCCTGGGGACCTTGGCAACAGACATGGCTCAACCGCAGTTGCCAGGCAACGACACATTTGTGCACATGTGTCAATCCGAGTGGCCCTTGTTCCCAGCTGTGGTCTTTGTGCCTTCCCTTTTTACTGGGCTTTCATCTACTCTGAGTTTGGGCACATCAAGGCTGGGTTACAAAAGGCACCCTGGAGCCCAACACCCATGAGCGAGGGAGTGAATGCATGGGTGCCAAGCTGCTGGAAGACGTACCTGGATCTCATTAAGCCATTCTCAGCCTAAACCTGCTCTTCTTGTTCCTCTCTGCTCCTCCTCTTTTGCTAGAATGTAGCTGGTAATGGACTGGAAGCCATGGCTGCAATTAACTGGAGGACTGGTCCTCTGTGAATGGAGGCAATGAGCAGAGCAGCGATGTAGGAATGGCGGAAGCTTTAGAATCAGCTTTGGTTCCAAACTTGACTTGGCTGCCCCTCACCGTGTGACCTTGAGTCCATTATATTTTTCCTGAATTGAATTCTCTCATCCTAAAAACCTAGCAAAAGCAAACCTCAGGGGTTCTGATAAGGATTCAATGAGGTAGCACATAAAATACCTACCATGAGCCTAATAGGTTTCAATAGGATGTGTTTTCTGACTAGGTTTGAGTTAGAAGATGAACATCAAAGAAACTAGGAGATCTCTGCTTTGTCGTTGGTATAAATTTGCTCCTAATGAATCATTCTGATGAGTATAAATTCTGCCAGCCAGCTATCTGTTCTTCAAATGCTTCCCTGAAGGACTCTGCTGTCAATCTATTCATTTGACTGGTAGAGAACATAGTTTTATTCATTCAACATGTATTTTCTGAGCATAGGCTATGTCATAGGACTATACCTACTTGATTTATAACACTTCGATGCCCCTGCAAGGTAGCTGTGATTATCATTTGACAGATGAGTCAAGTGGGTTCAGTATTCTTCCATGATCACATGGAAGATGGATAGTGATTTGAACTTAGGCTCTCTGATTCCAAGATTGTACCTTTTCTTTCTCCCCAGCTGCCTCTGGTAATAATGGCAGTGCTTCAGGCAGGTCAAATTCATCAACATGGTCTCAGTTCCAGATGTCCAGTCTCATGAGCTTCCATGGAAGTAGAGAGTCTGTGGGGTATGATACTGGTGTCTTATGGCTGAAAAGCCCAGCTAGATCCAGGGCTCCCATGATGTCACCCTGTCCCTAGTATCCCCACCTGTAGATTTTGTCCTTCTATGGTGAGTAGGCTCTTCACACATGGTGGATAAATGGTCTCCATTCTTTGACTTATATGTTTATAGCTTCCCATTGTATTAGCTGGGGGAAAGGGCCTCGTCCCTAGAGATTCTACCAATGTCCTGGACATATGTTCATGGCTCTCACTGTCCTAACTTGGGCCTTATGTCCATTTCTCAGATAACTCCTGGCGCTGGAATATGACATATACTGATTCCAAGTTGAGCTTGGGTGATGTGACCTCAATGACTCAGTGTAGAAAGGGAGGCTTCCTCAGATGAAAATCAGGGTGCACTTGCTAGCAGAAGAGGAAGTTGATGTAAGTGAAGGACACGTATCACTGTCCACCTTACAGGGCTGGATTACATCTCAAGGCTGGGTCAGAATGATGGCAGGTGTGCTAAGCTGTCGCAGATCTCAGCAACACAAGCAGACAGCAGGGATACCCAGGGCCTATAGTTCCCATTGTACAAGGAATGCAGAGTATCCAGGGGAAAGAGTCTATAAGCTTTGAAGTTCCCCCTGTTTATTATTTCTAACTCTCCCTAGGTAATGTGAATATGCCATCAGACAAGTGAATCGAGGGAAGTGACTGTAAATATTGACACCCCTATTTAGCTGCAATTTTCCGTACTAGCTGACCAGCTCCCTAAAGTTTCCCCAAAGAGACCCTGGGGTTGTCACATATGTGCCAAGCCCAGTCAACTCTAACCCCTTGTGGGTACCTGTTTCTTGAGAGGTCACTGGAGGGGATGATGGACCATTGCCCCTGCTGGGAATGCTCTGAGACGTGCCACCTAGTTAAGGGTCACCTCTTGGCACTCTTGAGGTGGTGTCTCCTGGATCTGGTTGCTCTCCTCAGTTCTCACTACCTCAGCCATGCTGGGTTCCAGGCGGAAACAGGAGGTATGCCACTTTCCTGGCACTGTGCAGCAGAACTTTCCAAGGCAATGGAAGTATTCTTTATCTGTGCTGTCCAGTGTGGAAGCCAGTCATGTGTGGCTACTGACCATTTTAAATGTGGACATTACACCCCAATAACTGGATTCTCTAATTTTATTAAATTCCAATCAAAATTAACCACATGAGGTTACTGGCTGCCATATTGCCATATTGGATAGCAGAGCTCTGTAGGACTCAGGCTTCTTCATCTGAGACCTAGACCTAGGGTCCTGATGCCTGCTGTTCTCTTCAACTCTTCTCTCCCATCCCTATTCCTCCTTCAGATAATGTGCCCCTCATGACTTTCTAGCAAACCATCTTCTTCATCTGTATCCAGTTCATAAAAATCGGTGCTGAAGACCAATAAACCAGACAACTCTCTTGGTTAAAGTCACCTGAGACTCACTCCGACCTTTAGCAGAGAAAAGAAGTCAAGAGTCTGTCTTTAGTTGTGGCAAAGACAGGAGGGAAGGAATTCTCTTCCCATCCTGCAATGAAGTTGGGTGGGTGAGGACACATCCCAAAGGATGGAGACAGGAAAGGAGAGTTGGGTGTCAGCCACAGCTTGGGAAGTCCCCAGAGACTTTGTAAGAGAAAGGGCTCAGCAAACCGTGCTCAATTCTGTGTGACGTTTTTCTTGGCCAAATGGAGTTGTGCCCTTGGGAGCTGTTCTGGTTGGAGGACAGGGTGCTGCTGGAGAGGCAATTTGGGGATCTGGTCTCTAGCCCAATCTTTATAGCTCTAGCAAATACTGAATATTTTGACAAATATTTTGAATAAAGGTAATTTCCATACTCTATAGTAATTAAGGTTTTCGGTTACAAAAAACTCAACTAGTTTAGCTTTAAAGAAGGGATCTGCTAAAGAGACAGGAATGCCATGTAAGAGAAGAGTGACTGTGAAACTGGACCTCTAGGATGGCTGGGGACTATGACTGTACATGTGGGGATTCCATAAGTTCTGTCTGTCTACCTCTCATCTCCACCTCCTGGGCACCTACAGATTGATGCTGTATTGCCTGGATCTTCCATGTGCCAGGCCTAATCCTGAAGGGAGGTGGGAGCAATTCTTTTGGTCCCATATTTCCAAGAAAAGTACACTAATGTAGATCCCAGAGGAATGTTCTGTTCCTGGGCCTATCCATTGTGGACAGTTCACAGGATTCAGAAGCTGATGGCATAGATGAGGCTGTGAGTTATTTCAATGCCCCCAGGATCCACGTCAAATGGGTAATCTCCACTAGGAGCCCCCACTGACCTATCAGTGACAGCCTTCCCCTAGCCATTTCCCTTAGGGGAGCCTGTGACTTGTGGGACACCTGCTGAGATGATTTTCCCCCCATTGCTGTATCTCTTCAAGGATGGCTTTGGCAGTGACCCTGGGCAAGTTCTATGACCACACTCTTGTCCTCCTCCACTGGCCCTGGTCCCTCAAATTCCTACTACTCTTCTGAATCCTGTCCAAAGATTGATGAGAGAAAGACCAGGAGAGACAGAACCAAGGGGTGGGACAGGCAGAAAAAAACCAGGAGGAGGGGGAACAGTTTTTTTTTTTTTCCAAATTCCAACTTCTTTTGTTACTGTCCAACTCTTTGAGAATCCAACTGTTAAGATGTAACTAGCTCTAGACAGAGATGTCAAGTAATCATAAATGTGTTTTGGATGTTTTGACTGCATTTTTTGCTTCTTTTGGGCTGTTGCTTCCTTTGTTACTTCTTGGCTTGCATGCTTGGCACCCCCATCAGCTGAGGGTCACCTGTGCAGAGCACACACTGTGGACCAGGCCAGCTACACACCTGGCCTTGTTTCCAGCCCTCACAGTCAGCCTCACAGGGATGGGATTATGCCAGGATCAAAGGAAGTGTTTTTCCTGTTCCTCGATACACTTGGCCAGGTCTGTGCTCTGCTGTTCCCAAGGGATCATGAGCATCTTGAAGACAGGAATTGCATCTAGTTCATCCTGGAATGTCACAAAGTGCAGTCCGGGTCTGACTCAGAGTGCAGTTTCAGTTAATATTTGTTGAGTGATTACAGTACATTGTGGAAGGAGAAGAGGAAGAGGAGTTATCACTATCTTTCTGTACTCTTCCAATTTCCTGTGATGCATGTGTCATTTAATGGACAATTATACTTAGTTTTGTTGTACTACTGGGGAGAGCTAGTGTTTATTGCAATAGTCTTTGTCTAGCCCAAATTACTGAAAGTCTCCCAAGTAGCTAACATCTGTTATAGAAGGTGGGTCTCTCTGGACTCTGGAACACTTGGGCCCCTTCTAGGGGACTGTGTAAGCCCAGTGAGTACGGCCCTTGGGAAGGACTGCTCACCTCACTTTGGCAGAGCAGTAATGGCCAGAAAAGTGGTGGGGTTGGGGCTGAGGCCTGCCCCAGGGCTCCTGGGTGTTATGACCCAGAGGAGAAGCTGAATAAATTGACCCCTGGTTTCAGAGACCAATCCCACATTAGCCCCACGCCTGCTTGCATGGTCATTGGGCTCCCTGAGGGCAGGGCTCTGCTCTCCTATCCCAGCTCCTGGCACAGGGCCAGTATGCTGGCAAATGGAAAATAAACAGGAATTAGACATCAAAAATAGTTTCTGTACAAACAACATAGATAAGGAAAATGGTCTGAAAATAAAACATGATGGTAGAATTTCTTTCTGTGTTTAAGTTAATAATGCATGGTTATTCCATGATGCGATACTTAAGTAGACTGAATGAAATCTGCTCCTTCCTATCAATATCATTGGCTCAGGGAAAACGTGTGCAGATGTGGCTACACACAGAGCCACCACATGGAAGGCACCCAGATCAACCAGAGCGAGAAATGGAATTACAAGAAACACACCAAGGAGTTTCCCACAGATGCCTTTGGGGATATCCAGTTTGAGACGCTGGGGAAGAAAGGCAAGGTAAGCGTGGTTTTCTATGTAGCTAGCTAATTAGTATGCTGAGACAACTTGAGCTACCTTGAAGTACTGCTAATTGTCTAATAGTATGGAGGCAGGAGTGTCCAGAAATGACAGCAGAAAAAGATACTTTTTGCAAAAGTCACAAAGTAGTGACCAGATTATGCTCAGCTGGACTAGGTGGTCACCCAGCTGTCCCTGCACACACACTGTGGGTTTCTTTATAACACCCATGTTGGACCTCATGCCACAAAAGATCAGGGAATACTTTTGTAAACTGTCCACTTAGCTTGGGTATGAGAATACATGTGTCCTGACAAGGTGACATGCCCCTCTACCTGCTCCCGTTGAAAGCTCTCACACAGAGTTTTGCACAGGTGTCCAATGGTTAGATGAGGTTGCTCCCTGTCTCCTTGACAGCGCTGTTCTCAGACTGCTCTGGCTGGAAGCCTGGGCCTTGGAACCCTCTCGGTCCCAAATCCCTGTCCTGGTGGCCCTGAAGGCCACGGGCTCCCCCCACTGCTCTCTTCCACGGCCTCTGTCCAGGATGGCCCAGCATGGTCTCCTGCCCGCGCACGGCTCTGCCCACCCCAGCCTGGGCCCCTTGATGTGTACCCCACACTGCAGCGGGACTACGAGATGCAAATCTGCCGCAGCTACCCTGCTCCGGACACCTCCCGGCAGGGGTGGAAGCACCGGGGTGCATCGGGTTGGGCCTCAGGGCCCACCTCGTGCCCTCCACCGCGCAGCCCCCGGGTCCCGACCCCATACTGACGCTTTCCCTCCCGCACAGTACATCCGCTTGTCCTGCGACACCGACCCGGAAACCCTCTACGAGCTGCTGACCCAGCACTGGCACCTGAAAACGCCCAACCTGGTCATTTCCGTGACGGGAGGCGCCAAAAACTTCGCCCTGAAGCCGCGCATGCGCAAGATCTTCAGCCGGCTCATCTACATCGCGCAGTCCAAAGGTGCCACCGGCGGGGACGCGTGTGGGTGGGGTGTCGCGCTGAGCGGTGGGCTCCCAGGATGAATCCTCCGTGCAGCCTCGCGATTAACCACCGCTTTAGAACTAGCAGCATTCTCAAATGGGCAGACAGGGCGCTCAGCAGGGGCTTCCCCAGGTAACCCTTTCTATCCCCCTTAAGGGGCTTCCTTAGGTTGATTTTATTTTATTTAAATCTAAAGGTTTCATTTTATTATTATTATTATTATTTTATTCTTATTATTGGTTGTTCAAAACATTATAAAGCTCTTGACATATCATATTTCATATTTGATTCAAATGGGTTATGAACTCCCATTTTTACCCGTACACAGATTTTATTATTTACACATATAAGTTTTTACCCAGAATATTCTGGTGCACCCAAAAGGAAAATTTGATTGTCCTTTAATTTTTGAGATCAATGATACACTTTTGGAAGAAGAGAGAGTGCAAATTCTAAGTACCATGTAAGCATTTGAGATAAAACCATGGTGACTTTGTTACTTGAAATATTCAACTTAACATCATCGTCCTTGTTTTTAGCCTTATTTTGAAAATCTTCAAATCTACAGAGAATCTGCAAAAATGATCCCATGAACATCCTCACAAGCTTCTCCTAGACCCCCCAGTTGTTAACATTTTCCCACGTGTCTGTTCTTATTTCACAAATAGCTACATGTTATGTTTTGGGGGGGCAGGATCTGAAGTAAGTTGCAGGCTGGTGGCCTTAGCCCCCCAGTTCTTCAGCATGCCTCTCTCAAGAGCAGGCACCTCCCTCACCCTGGTGTGGCCTTCAAGCCCTGGACAGTCAACACTGACTGGTACTCTTATTGGATTACAGTCATCCCTCACACTCCTACAGTGTCTTTTAGAGCAAAAGTTGCCTTTCGTCCATCTGCACTCCAGATCCATGGAGCTTTCAACCAGTGTCTTTTCAGTTTTCCTCTCTGGCACAGGTCCTCAGCCCTTCTCTGACCTCCATTGCATTTTGCAGAGTAAGTGCCAGCAGCTCAGGGGATTGACCTTCAGTTCAGGCTTGGACAGTGTTTTCTTATAAGCAGGCTCAGTTTCTCTGAGTTCAACATTTTGCATTTTCTTTTATGAAGATAATTTGACCGACAGAACTAAGGAGTCTTATTTAGATGTGAATTTTTCTGTAATGTAGAAAAGAAATTCTGATTCCCCCCATTTATTTTTCTCAATTTCTTCACCAATCTGAGTGGTCACTGTGTTAGTCACTTTGTTAAGGAATTAAGCAGTTTAGCTTCCTTCCTACTAAATCCCGAACACACACACACACACACACACACACACACAAAACATTCATTCATTCAACAAACATTTATTAAGTGCCAACTTTGTGCCAGAATCATTTTAGGTGCTGAGAATGTAGCAGAAGAAAACAGAAAAAATCCCTGTCAAGGATGAGGGCCCGTTTCTCTTTAGGTTAGTGAGGTGGCCAAAGTCTTTAGGTTAGTGAGGTGGCCAAAGACTTTAGGTTAGTGAGGTGGCCAAAGGGGATGTTAATAGTCTCCTGGTCCTCCATGTTGGTCATTTAGGGGGAACGTCAGCCCTATGAGAATTAGCTGAAGGAAGTGGGTAGAAGACTTGTAAGGGCCACAGCAAGGTTGTCTTAAAATACCGAAAGGACTCCGAAGGGGAAGGGACTGACCTTGTCCCTCTTTGCTGATTAGATCCTGGAGGCAAATGGTAAACAAAATACATTCTAACAGCCAGAGGAGAGGCTGCCTTGCAACTCCTGGGGCTTCCATTGCTAGGGCTAACCCCCAGGGGCCGGTCACTACTCTCGGTGGATTCCTGTTCAAGCTGCAGATTAGACCAGTGTCATTTCCATTATGCTAAATAATATTTTGTAGGTATTTTAGGTACTTCAGTTTTGAACACACACACATGCATCCTTTTGCAAATCCCTTGCCATTGTGATTATCAAATACGGACCTGACCCATGTGCAAAATTATAATTATTACTTAATTATAAAGCAAAGCAAAATTGCAGACACCAGGGCCATTCCTGGAAGATCCCACTCCAATCTGACCTGCAGGTTCTGCGAGCATAGTAAAACTGCTCTCCTTGGCAGAACCACCTAGCTCATTGGAAGGCTCAGACCAGGCTTTTACTGCTGGTAAAGATCCCCCTGGACACTGATTGCAGATGCAGACTTGCTGACCCTACGCCCCAGAGAGGCTGATGACACAGATTTAGAGTGGGACCCGAATCTGTTTCCTGAGGAATGCTTCTCAGGAGCCTGGGGGGCGTCCCTCCCCCATCCCATGGCCTGGCTGCCAGTGCTGTATCCTGGTGCTCGCCAGAGTCTGGGAGCACAGCCTGGAAATCTCCCCTGGTACCGGCAGAACAGTTGCTTTCCCCTCGTTGACAGGTGCTTGGATTCTCACGGGCGGCACCCATTACGGCCTGATGAAGTATATCGGTGAGGTAGTGAGAGACAACACCATCAGCAGGAATTCGGAAGAGAACATTGTGGCCATTGGCATAGCAGCGTGGGGCATGGTCTCCAACCGGGACACCCTCATCCGCAACTGCGATACTGAGGTACGGGTGGGATGGGGAGGTGATGTGGGAGAGAGCTAAGGACATGGGGCTGTGGCCTGGATACCAGGGCTCTGGGGTGTCCAGGGCAGCCTTCGGAGGCCTGCCTTACAGGGATGGCCTGTGGGTCTCTGGATTGCGCACAAGCATGGCATGCTTCCGGAACTCCCCAGAACCGCCTGATGGTGCGTGTGCTTTATTGGTTACAGTTCATTCCCAGCAACTTCATGTTAGTGTTGGCTCCTTCATTCTTCATAACCAGGACCTGAATCCACCCCAAAATACTGCAAATGCCGGTGTCATACCTTCATTGCTTGGCTACACCCACAGGCATGCAGGCCAATTACTGTGCTCCCTACTTAGTTTGGCAGTGAGAAGGCTGTGAGACCCACCTGGCTAATGTTTCCTGTGAATGTATCCGGGAGGAATCAAGGCACCTTTCAGGTTCAAAACACAAAAAGGTGGCCGCATGGGGTCTTTATCAAGCGTGGAATTTTTCAGACAGTATTTCTGGTGAGTTGAGGACCTTAAGCAATGGGTGGTCCCTGCCCAGAAGCTGTTTAGAATGTTTAGAAACCTTCATTTATTCTCCACCTAGGGCGCTGTAGAAGTTCACGCAGTAAATATGAGGGAGTTTCAGGATCACTGTGGTGCGCCAAGGAGAGTGGTGCGCCAAGCGTCCCCACGAGGCAGCGTGGTAGAGTGGAGGAGGGTGGAGAGGAGTCTGGGTGTCGCTCCTTTCCCAGGACACAGTCTTGAGCCAGGTCCCTCTGTGACTTGTTCAAATCACAGCCTGCATAGTCAGGGGGTAAATTTATCTAAATGTCTCAGTGAATGGTGGTTTCTGTTATTACTAGATGCTCAATAAGCAATGGCAAGATGGTCTCACAGTAAATGGCACCCCCAGGGATGAGGGGCCCTGGATCAGGGTTTGAAGGTGGCAACAGGCTGGGTGGGACTGAGTGCCATCTTCTATCAGCATCGCTTGTCACGCGCAAGGAGTCACCTTAGAGTGGGTAATTATCCCCATGGTGGATACAGTACAGATGTTAATTTGCAACATCTCAAAACATCCCTGAAGTTTGTGGTTTTACCCTTGAACTAGAATGAAAAGACTTCAGGGTTTCCCTGGAGGCCGTGCCAAGTGGCAAAAGCATTACCAACGGGGCTTGCTGGGTGCTGCTGACCTCAGTTGGGGGCCGTTCTCCCTGGAGGCCGTGTCGGGGTTCTTCTGTCTACAAGTAAAACATGAGATGATGTGTAAGGATTTAAGGGAAGTGTCCATCACTCAGAAATGAATAGAAAAACAACCAGCCATCTGGAAAATAAACACTGGGTCAATAATTTACTTTCCAGAATACAATTTAAGGAATAAATGGAGCTGAGAAATTAGACATAATATTTAATATTGAGAAAAATTCTGAGAATGCCACATCCAGTTGTATATCAATAAATCTGAAAAATCTCATGAAAATTGATATTTTTTCTATAAAACTATAGTTTTCCAAAGTTGATTTAAGAAGAATGAGAAAATAAAAGGAGAGGAATTATCCCTGAGTGATAGGTAAAGGGCCAGGAAAATTAACCTCCTGTATCACACTGAGTCGAGTGATTTAAGCCAGTGAATGATGATGATAGTCTAGCCGTTGCTGATTTAGAAAATGTTTAGAGCCTTCCATTACATACAGAAGCATGGGATCTTCATAAAATTTTGGATAAAGAGCAAACCTGTGCTATCTGTATCTAGAGCATAAACTACTCGTATAATAGGTCCAGCAATCAGACTTGTGAATGTATCACTAGAGAATATAATACTTGGGCAAAGATGTTCACTGAAACATTTCTTATAAGGCAAGGGTTGGCATAAACCTAAATATCAAGCAATTCTTATTTCTCAACTTCTATTATTATATTTTTATTATCTGATAACATTTATTATTAGATGGGGAAATCTTTAGGTGGGTACTTTGCAAATATGAGGGAAAAAATCATGGAACTATTAAAATATGTTATTTCCAAAGGTGTTCTGAAAGTATAGGAAGTATAATTTTTTAGTATTAAATTATGAAATATATTTATACATATAAAACATAAATATCATTAGTTACCTAGAATAATACCTGTTATAAATATATGTTATATCTAGAAAGAACTGAACATACTAAGCTATTGATGTGTCTATCACTGGGTCATGGAATTAAGCATAATTATAATTTCCCTCTTTCTTCCTTTATTTCATTTCTATGATAAATGTGTTGCTCTTAGAGCCGTAAGGCGCTAGCTCTGTTAATGACTCTCTTTGGTGATGTCATGTGGATTCACAGCACGTCGGACGATCCTGGGGCTGGTTTCCTGGTTTCTTTCCTCTTCCCCTGGTTTGCAGTGATTGGTCTTTGGTGTCCTTGGACCACCTGTTGGTAATAGCTTGGTGGCCACTCATCCTCTGGTTTCTATTCAAGGCTCCATCGCAGAACCCATCACCCGACGTCTAGCTGACCTAAACAATGCCACGCCTCACAAACAGGATCTCTTTCAGTACTCGCCCCCTCATCCCCAGCATCTGCTTTTCCTGAGGCAGTGCTTCACTTTAAAAATCACTGTGGCACTGTGTGTGTGTATGCATTAAAAAAGATGGCGCAGGCATCTCCTGATTATTCTTGTTCTGCAAATTTTTCTTTCCTACTCATTACCATGCTTTTTTCCACATAAGTTTGGGAAGAACTTTGTCAGATACAGTCATAGGACAAAACAAGAATAATAATGCACTCGCTGAGTGTAATCATGTTAAACCTTAAATGGATACTGGAAAAGTTGAAATTATTACAATACCCCTTCTTATTCCAGTAATATATGTCTTTAAGCTTTTGCAAGTCTGAGTCTTGAAAAATATTTCTGCAGATTTCTTTGTTAGGTTCTATGTTATTTCTAGGGATTTTATATTTTTTATGGTTATTTAGTGTGATTTTTGAAGTAATTTTTGCAGGTACATATGAAAGTATTGATTTGCTTATTGTTGTTTTGAATCAAGAGACTTACTGGACTCTTCCTACTTCTAATAATTTTTCAGCAGATTCTCTGACTGTTCTATGTTTACAACCACATTATTGTAAGTAACTTAAAAATTAAAACAACTCTTCCATTTAATTTTACCCTTTGTCTTTTGCTTATCATCTTGCATTGGCTAGAATTTTCAGAGTAGCGGTGTGGGGGGGGGTTGTTTGTATCCTTATACATCAGAGAGACGTATGTATAAGGTCTTTGGCTTTTTCTTCTGATTCTTTTCCAGTCATGGTTTTGGAATCAGGTTGTATTCTGGAAGAGCGTAAAGGAAATGGGAATTATTTGTTCCATGAAAGTTTGTGGGGCGCCTGTTCAAACTCATGGATGTGCCCGTTTTGAAAGTATCATCTCACCTGTCACGGTCAGGAGTTTACTGCTTGGAGTTTCTAACTGGACAAGGGCCCCTTAGAGAAGAGATTATGCCATTGGAATTTTACTTTCTTTCTGTTTTAGCTAGGATAGAAGTGATAAAAAACTGACCCACTAATTTCGTTCTGATTTCATACACATCATTAGTAGAATCAATAGCTTTGCTTTCCACATTGGGTTTCCAACTCACAGTCCATTCTTGGAGTCAAGGTCGTAACACCTTTTACTACAGCCCTGACTACTTGGGTGGACTAGAGAGTCAGGAATGCTCTGGGCAAGGATTCTTCTCCTGTTTTTGTCTCTGGTACTATTGGGACAAAGTATCTATTTAGTTACTTTTTTAAGGGTCTTGTTACTGAGCGCTTCTCAAGTGCAAAGACTTTTATCCATTTCCTAATCCCTTGACCCTGGCACAGGTGCCAGTATATGGTAGATTCCAGACAAACAGGTATGTGCGCTTAACAGTGTCTGCCTCTGCTCGTGTATCCAGACACGTAGACACATGTGCACGTGTACATGTGCACACGCGTACACAGTCACACACACATGGGTGTGTAATTTTTTGAATGCTATGCACTCTAGTGAATTTATACAAAGGAGCCCAGGGCAACGGACCAAGAACTGGATTGGGAATCTGATCTTTATGGTGCCACTGGTCATATATGTGACAGTGGGTAAGTTGGCCCAGCCATTTCGAGCCTTTATTTTCCTCTATTTATAAGGAAGCCTGCACCACCAGATACTCACGACTCTTCTGAACCTAGGGATCTGGGAGGAGGCATCAGTGTAGTTGAGCCAAAGGATTAGCTTTGCTGTGACCCTAAGATGTCATCATGCGTCTCGGTCAATGAATAAAATCTCAGAGACAAGTCCCCTGCACTTTCCAGGGGTGTTTTTCAGCTCAGTACATCATGGATGACTTCACGAGGGACCCTCTGTATATCCTGGACAACAATCACACCCACCTGCTGCTTGTGGACAACGGATGTCACGGACACCCCACGGTCGAAGCCAAGCTCCGGAATCAGCTGGAGAAGTACATCTCTGAGCGCACGAGTCCAGGTCAGTGCTCAGGAAGTGTGAGTCTCGATGTCCATGGTAATAGTGGTGGCACCAACAATCGTGTCTGCCAGCTGTGGAGTGAACCTGAAGACCCCTCCTGGGTGCCTAGGAGGAGCCACGAGGTTTCACAGGGGGTGGCTCTGCCCGGGTCCCTGTGAATTATGCCCTTTGACATGCTGAAGGCATGACTAGTGCTGTCTCCTCCACTCTCCTTTGTCAATATAGAATGTCTGCCATCTTTTCTTCCACTGGACAGCACTTAAGAACAAATAAAACCCATGATAGCAAATACAGTTTTAAAAGCAATGCCTTTAGTTAGGATAGAAATGATAAAAAAAAAACTGACCCACTTATTTAACAGTTGGATGGTTTGAATCTTGGCTCTTTCTGTGAATGCAACCACTTAAACATCAGTTTTGAGGGGACAATTCAGGGAAAGCCTTTATCTGATGTCATAAGTGACATCCACCTTCTCTTCTTGTGGACAAGGTGTTGAGATGTGTCCTGCCATGGAACCAGATTATCTGGTGACTTAGTGACAGACCCCACCACAGGGACATCTTGGAGATGTTCCCACTTGTTTTCCTTTCACAATGGGATGTATTTACATGTACATTAAACTCTATTGAGAGAACACCCCACTGGGCAAATGAGAATCATTATTGTAAGATAAAGTTGAACCTACTCTAATTATATCAGCCAAAGCAAACAAGCACAGACTTTAGCATTTTAAATATCAGTAACAGATTGCAAAATGGCTCCAAGTCATACTATTCCTAGTTTGGTGCACCTAAATTCACCCATTGTGGTCAACAAGTAGTGTCAAGGTCAAGTCCACAGGCTGAGCATCTATTGCCCACATCCTTCCCTGAGCTCACAGGGAAGAAGCTCTGGGTGCACCTGCTCCTCAGGCAAGGGAGCATTTCTACTGAGTCCAAAGTAAAGTTTACTTTTTATGTTTTGCAGATTCCAACTATGGTGGCAAGATCCCCATTGTGTGTTTTGCCCAAGGAGGTGGAAGAGAGACTTTGAAAGTGAGTCCTCGTTTAGTTTTCAAGAAGATTGGCTACCAAGCTTACTAAAAATTTGTATTTTGAGGGCTTTTGGGTTTATCCAGTCTCTCCTGACTAGTTTCTTCTGTGACTACAAGAGAGAAGTGTCTTGTACCATATGCTGTCTCCTTAACAGACACAGGTTGTTCCTCAGCAGAGGAGACTTGGGAGGAAGATTTGAAGTGACATGAGTAGGCTGTGTGTTTAGCATCAGCCTTGACAGTCAGCCTGCCAAAGAGGACAGGTGCCACTCACTCAGAAAACTGAAGGATCGCAACTAGTGTGTGTTTTGGAAAACCGACTTGCGTGGAGAGGAGCTATCACACCCCTACGGCCACCAAGTCAGATATCCCCAGACCACCTGTGGCCCTTCCCATGAAGGGACAGGGCACCTATAACACTGAGCTCCTGAGCAAATCTCAGCTTCTCAGCCCCCACGTAGGCTCTGCACATGGCTGAGCTCCTCTTGCCTGCAGCTGGGCTTCAGTTGGTCTTTATAAGAGAGCATCAGGCTGACTGTATTTGAGTCAGTGTTTGAAGAGATCATTTTTCTAGAAATAGGACATTGTGTGAAAGTCCTGTTTAACTCCTCTTATTAAGTAATTTCCATGTTGATTTGCATATGGCTCTTCTCCATCCAATTTGTACCCTGATCTTGGGTTAAAGATAACTCTAGTCGTTCACCTGCTCCCCTCCTTTGGCCAGAGAACATCCCTAGTGTTGCAGGAACTTGCTAGCAGAGTTACCTGGAATCCTAGTCCAGCTCCTCTCTCTATGCTTTTCTAGAACAGTGGTCTTTTCACTCCTTTGTTCAACAGGTATTTAACAAGTACCCCCACTGTGAGATCTGCTCTTGAGGCCGTTGTTGAACAAAGGTCCTTCAGGGAAAGACTTCTCAGGAAGTAATTAAAACGGACTTTTTTCCCAATGTGAACTGGTCACCAGTGAATACTAAAGAGCAGGAATACTAAAAAGAGGAAGAGGTGGAGAGAGAGTTACCGAAAGGTGGCTGCATGTATTATGCTTCTCTCACATTTTAGATTTGGAATGAAGATTTCTTGGCTTTGGATGGAGGGGAAGATCAGAGAGCCCCTGCAGGTCCAGGGTGGTATTTCCATAGCATCAGGCACAGAGGTCTGCTTAGCTAGCTCACAACCCACAGAAGGGGCACAGGAGACCCGAGGAGGGGAGAGAGCAACAGCCGGCTGTCTCCAGCTCTGCAGTGAGCACATGCCCTGCACCCTCCTCCAGTGCAGGCAGAGGGCTCCCAGCCTGCTTGCTCAGCCGATAGCTGGGCTCCACACCCTCCTCTAGGGGACACATCTTCCTATGAGAAGCATTTAGTCTTGGAGGAAAGGGTCTCTCAGTATCTCTGTGCCCATGTGCAGATAGATCACTTTATTCTGCTGTCACATGATTAGAATTCTCATTCCCCTATACTGACCTCTGCAATTACTGTAAAGAAAATAAAAGTAGGGTATGTGGTTATTTTTTTTTAATAATAAGGGCAAACTAAATTATTCAAGAAGGGAAATATATAATGACCAGAACACAAAATCTGGGCTACTGCTTTTAAGGTATTTTTAGACCTTCAAAATATGAGTTTTAGTAACTTCTATCAGATAAGATACCAGCAGTAATGATAAACAGAATCTTAGTCATTGTCACTTAGAGCTATATCAACATTTGGAATGACTGGTTTGTAGGTAAGGATATGTTGAAGCACCTGTGGTGTCACAGGAGTCTTTGTTTTGGAAGTTGATGTTGACACAGGATGCCATAGGGCTCCTTACTGTTCTTAAAGCAGGTACAGGTATTTCATTTGCTTTGGATTTGAAATAGAAGTCCCCAAGGAACAAGTGCAAGGACGATGGGTTTTGTTCACTGACCTGCCTTAGAACCTCAGTTCCGAGCTGGGCTCTGGATGACCCAGGTCTCTGACGTCTGCTCAACTCTCTGCTCTCCCAGGCCATCAACACCTCCATCAAGAGTAAGATCCCTTGTGTGGTGGTGGAGGGCTCGGGGCAGATCGCCGACGTGATTGCGAGCCTGGTGGAGGAGGAGGACGCCCTGACGTCTTCCATGGTGAAGGAGAAGCTGGTGCGCTTTTTACCCCGCACAGTGTCCCGGCTGCCCGAGGAGGAGACTGAGAGCTGGATCAAATGGGTGAGCTCAGGGGGAGAGGTGGAGAGCTGAGGGAGAAGAGGCTGAGCTCGTGGGAAGGGGGACCTCACACGTCCCACTCCACTGGTTGCTGCAGGTGCTTGGTCTGTCCTCTGAGACTTTGAGGCTCTGCCTTGGCCCACACCAAGCGTCCTGCTGGAAACTGAAATGTGGATGAGCTAAGTGACTCTCCAAGCGTCCACTCCTTCTAAAGAGTTTAAATGCAGGGCAGTTTGCAAAGCTTGTAATCTGTCTCTTAGGCCATGATGCCACAAATGTGCTTCTGTGTTTTGTATGCAGTGGTGATGGCGAGGGAGGAAATCCCTGGTAATGAAATTTTCGAAGTGCAGACTCTAATTGAGCCTACATCTACTGAAGAAACTCCCTCCTGACTAGTTGCCGTTCTGCACTAACTGCCTGAGTTACAGCTCAGAATCTCTCACCTTTCTTTCTGGATTATATGAGAAAGCTGAACTTATTGGAAAACTTACCAGGCTATTAATGGCTGGGCTTATAAAACTATTTGAACGTGTTAGTGCTATACTTTCTCATTTTTCTTTGATTCATGATTGTTGTTGATTTGGAATGATTTGCTTTCCTACTGCTCAGCTCGTTAGAAGGTCCACATAAATGTCAACAGGTGCTTTCACTTCAACCCGTTAAAAAATGGCCTTAGGTATTTGGATATTTTTAGGACCATGAGCTGCCACTTGGGAATTTTCCCATAAAGAAAATAACAGACTCAGACACAGAATCATTTTCATTATAGAGCCCATTTCATCATGAGACTTGAAGGTTAGATTTAGTATGCATCATAATAATGATGATTCTTTCACTAGATTGGTATTTTAACAGTATTTAATCACAAATATCAAATGCAGCAAATCAGCGTCCTGGAATAGGGGAGACACTTTCCTCTTGTTTATGGTGGCCTTTGTCGTTCTTAGGACAATTCAGGGCAAATGAAATCCTAGTAAACAATGATAAGAGTCAACCCAGCCTTCTTGGGACCAGGAAATGGGACCCTAGTGTTCTTCTTTACTTTCACACAACAGGGATCCTAGCTGATCACCCTGATGCAGGGGATATTGAAATGAGCAGGATACAAGTCCTATCTGGATTAGACTTCACTGTCTAAAACTCAGAATGTAGAAAACACAGATGGACCTTCCTCCCGTGGCTGGAAAGTGGCATAGATGCTGAGTCGGGCCTCTCTAATGTTTGTTTATATGATATTTCTACTTGAGATATCATATTTTCCAGACTTTACTAAAGAAGCTAAAATGGGTAGTTTTATATGGAAGTTTTCACTTAGATTCTCTTGTGTCTGATCCAAGTCCAGTTGAGAGATATACACAAGAATCAGATTGAGATGAAAACTGCAGCTTTATGGGTGGTGAAGGCAAAGTTGAAAGATGAGGTGTACAGTTGCCTCCTTATGCCGAGGCCCAGGTAGGAGAGGTGGGCCCACCCAGCATGGCAGCACCAGGGACCTGCTGGCCTCCCCACCAGGCAAGGCAGGTGGTAGATGCAGACCAGAGCCCTAGCACTCTGCAAGGAGCAGATCCCAACAAGATAAGCAGCCAAGGGCTGGTTGGGCAAGGCCAGTGTCACTCCCCACCCTGAGTAGGTGAAGGGTGAGAGTGCCAGGGGACCTGTTCTGATGGTGCTCCCTGTGTGGCAGTCTGCAGAGAGGAAGGGAAGGGTCACCCTCCTCTTGTTGACTGATTCCCTACATTCTCATAACTGAATAGGTTGAGTCAGTTATAAACATATAAATAGACCGATCCCAACGGTCTTGTATCAAAGCAAGATGTTGAATATTGATCTCCAGTTTCAATGTTCTCTGTTGGGTGGAAGAAATTCAGTGGTCAGTGTAAGGATATTCATGGGGAAGGAATAGGCAACTCTTAGTTTATCTATCAAAGGTGGCTCAGCTCCATTCCAGTGACTTTCCTCTTATTCCTTGTACAAGTTGACATGTGGGGTCTGCACCATGTCATGTTGAAGAACAGAGGCTGTCTAATGGGTTCTCCAACACTTTTGAGGGATTCTTATTTCTACTTCAAGAAAACACAGACAATTCATCTTAAACTAAAAGTTAGGCACATTTTACCCCTGTGTTTTTATTATTCTTTCTGGGATTTATATCTAATTCACATTCATATCTAATGAAATACATTTATAATCATGTCAATCAGAAGACATACACCAAAAATGAAAATCATTGCATTTTAATTATACGCTCCTAAAGGGTTTCATGGAAACAGATTTCCTAAAAGACCAGGCTCAAAAGTGGTATTATTAGTGAATGAATGTTTACATTTCGTGAAGCATAGAAGCAATCTTCCTGGGTAAGATCAATCTTCCTCACTGATCGTGTGGATGACCAACCTCAAAGCCTGAACTCCTGGTTTCTTGACCTTTCCAAAAAAATCCCTTATATTTCTTCTACTGGGACCACACTTTCTTCTCCTAATACCTCTTCTACTATTTCTCCCATATCTGCTCCTGAAGTTCTCAAGAACTTAATCTTCTGTAGTATCCTAATCCATCAGCCAATCTAGATATTGTTTATTCATTCATTTTAAACTATGTAATTTGTATTTATTGAGCATATACTGTGTGCTATATTTTGGCATAGACACTACAGAAAAAATTGTGTATACAACAGAACAGTCTGTATTCATAGAGGAAGAAGAAATTGAAAAAAAATTATGTTGAGTAATTACGATAAATGCAGCATATAATTTCAAATTGAAATAAATGTTCTGAAGAAAAATAACATGATAAAAAGACATGTGCCAAGGGAGGTGGTCCTGCTGTGGGGCTTTGTGATAGGCTTGCAGAAGAAGTGATATGGGAGCCAGTGTGTGAAGGATGAGAGTGGGTGAGAAGATGGTTGAAATTGTGTTGGTGGGAATGGCAAGGCAAAGGTCCTGGGGTGAGAGGCTGGTCTGACATACCCAAGGAGCTGAAAGATGGAAGTGTGAATGGAAGCCAAAGAGTTCAGAGGGACCCGAGTAGCCAGCTCTCTGTATATTGTTTTGAGGTTTTAGTCTTTATTCAGGTATAAAAAAATGCCATTGAAAGCCTGAAATCAGGGAGACAATATGATCAGAACTGTGTTCATGAAAGTTCAAATTGTCTGTAGTGGGGGCACAGGATTGGAGGAGGCAAAAGTGTATGGGGGACGGAGATACCAGTTAGGAGGTTCCTGCAGTTCTCTCTGGCTCTCACCAATTTGCTCTGTATCCATATTCATTTTCTTTTCTTCTGTTTAATTTCAAAGGAAAAGATATCTCACCCTTTGGTTATTCCCACTCTGAATTGTTCTCTATAATCTTGGAAACTGATCCCTCTTTTTGCCTGTCATATCTAGCTGGGGCCCTTTCTTTCAGCCTGAACAAAGGCTGCAAAAATGGTGAAGATGGCTTTCTCCTCCATCCCTCATCTTCCCCAAAACTCTTTATGTTTTGTGTTTTCATGCCATGTTCATTTATTTTCTCATCACATCTGGATATTGTATCTTCTGAACCAAGACCTCCATCATCACCTTTCCCAGGAAATAGAGGCCTTAAAAGCTCACCTCCTATTTTCTAAATTCAAGAATCCTTCTTATTTCACATCATGCCATCTTCCAACTTTTCTCTCACACCCAGCTGAAAATCTGCATTTCCAGGTTCTCATTTCCAAATTCTGCCAGAAGAATCCACCATCTCTTCAAACTCAGTCCAACTGAAGTCAAATTTTCTTTCTCCTCCAGCAGGAAGCAAGGAGCCCTTTTTCACTGAGCTCCTACAAGGCTCACCAGTGCTCCCAAACTTTGAAAAGGAGGCTCTTTCATTATAAAACATGATTAAAAATTTAAAATTATAGGAAGATCACAAGGGAGAATAAAGAAAGTTATTCATTTCTTTACTTAATCACCAAGTCCCCTTGGTTCTTTTTTGCATTTAAACCTTTTCTGATGCTTACATCTTTATGACCATACTCAGATGTTTTCTTTTGCTCTTTCCTCCTTTAGTTACTTATTCAACAATTGAGATCTTTAATGTGCTAGGGTTGGTCACACATATATTCATATTTCCCTCTCTCTCTCTTTCTTTCTCTTCCCTAGTAGGCTTTTTTTTATAGAAGTTTCTATGTGTATTCTTATATAACCAGTACTTTATTGTTTTTGAGGTCAAGGACTCATTATTACAATTTAGAAGTCAGGAGCTAAGGGTTCAGATGTTGGAGATAAGAGAAAGAGATACAGAACCTGCTTTAAGTGGACATTTAAAAAATATGGAATAAAAAGATCTCTCACCAAAAGAGAGTTTATGTTTTTCATGTCTGAAATCAGTTCATTGACAACTTTGTTCTTTAAATGTTGCCAGCTCAAAGAAATTCTTGAAAGTTCTCACCTGTTAACAGTTATTAAAATGGAAGAAGCTGGGGATGAGATTGTGAGCAATGCTATTTCCTATGCTCTATATAAAGGTAAGTGAAAACAGCTCCTTGGGCAGTTTTAGCTTTGTGTTGTTTTCTGTGACTTTTGGTAGCATGTATTTCTTTTTAAAAGAAACTTTATTATTATTATAAACTTATTATACACTTTATTATTTAAAAGAAATTTTATTGAGAATCTCTACTCCAAAATCCCAATTGAAAAAAATCTAAAAAAGCTAAAAAATCTGAAACTTTTTAGTGTTGATATGATACCACAAGTGGAAAATTCCATAATACCATGAAGCTATTTCACATACATATACAAAGCTATTACGAATGCTTCAAATTAAGGCTATGTGTATAACATGCATATAAAACTTAAGTAAATTTTATGTTTACTCTTGGACCCTGGAAAATCTCTTTATATATATGCAAATATTCCAAAAACTGAAAAAAATGAAATATAAACCATTTTTGGTTCTGAGGAGTTCAGATAAGGGATACTCAACCTGTGTTATCTTGCACTTGATTTTTATTATCATAGTTGGAAAGATACAATACTATTGCTGTGGGGAGGGGAATTTCCTTGAATGTATGTATTTGATGGAATAAGAATTTTTGCATCATGAAAATTCTGACAAAATATGATCACAATACTCTTCAAAAAGTTATTTCTAGCAGTGGTTTGAAATATTGTTTTTGAGTTTCAGACTCCTCTGAGAATGTGATGAAAACTGTGGACATTTGTTCTAGAGTTACACATAGATGCGCACAGACTTGAAACACATAAATAACTTTTCATTCAATTCCTGTGTGGCCTTTGCTGTCTTAGAATTCCATCAGAGTGGATGCTATCTCAAGTAAATAGGCCCCAGGCCATCTGGAATGGAGCTGCATGGTTAATAAGAGGAATGCATACACAGTAGGGTCAGGCACGCGGGATGTGCAAATCAGACCTTAACTACATTTAGAATCATTCTAGTACTTTCCAGAAATTTGGTTATCATAGTATTTACTAACTTGAAATTATGTCTGTATAGACGCCTAGATGTAGAAAAAATTAGATGTGGCAAAGGCATGAAGAGCACTGTTGTGATATGGTTCATTACTTGGTAGAGTCAGATTTAATACATATCAGACGTGACCCTGGAGGCAGAGCTCAGGCTGCATCTGAGTCTATGTGGAATTGTCAGTGTGCTATGGCAACACGAGAGAATATGCGGGGGAGAGGCTGTGGTCTGAGCTGGTCTTTGTTGCATACTTCAGGGCACAGAGGCTGTGGGTGAGAGTGAGTGACAATGGAGGGAGGCTCTGATTCCAAGAGCAGACTGAGAATCGCCTTTGACAAATGGCTCTGGTGGTCGGCCATGTGGAGTCTCTGCTCTCTCTTATCTGTGGGCCTTTGTTCTGCCTGTTCTTTTCCTGCCTTCTTACAGCCTTCAGCACCAATGAGCAAGAAAAGGACAACTGGAATGGGCAGCTGAAGCTTCTGCTGGAGTGGAACCAGCTGGAGCTGGCCAGCGATGAGATCTTTACCAATGACCGCCGGTGGGAGGTAAATGAGGGGCCACCTGGGTCTCCAGGGTCAGGGAGGACAGTGGTCTCAGCAGTGAGTTCTTGTAAGGGTTGTTCTGTTCTGGTGCAGTGTTGCCCAGCCTCATTTTTCTCTTCTGAGTGCGGGATGATAACATGACTTATAGGTTTGTTGTGAAGAGACAGTAAAGCTGAAGGGTGTCATCAGAATATCCACCCACCCCTGCCACCTGAGGTTTCTAGCCCTTTAGCCTCCGTGGGAGAGGTGGCCTTCTGTCTGGTGTGGGACTGCAGATCTGCTGTTGGAAGTGGATGGGCAATACAGGTGCAGGATTTTGTACTTTCCAGAAATACTGTGATAACCATGGGCAATGCTATGATGGATGGGCAATGCAGGTGCAGGAAGTATGGGAAATACAGGTGCAGGATTTTGGAAAGTAGCTTGACTCAAAATCAAGACAGCAGCACTGTGTTTGCTCACCCCCCCCCCACTTAGTCAAATTCTGAGATGCAGAAGAGTTGATTGAGAACACCCCATGAATGCCTTACAGCTTCTCAGAATCCCCAGAGCCAAGTGAGCATCTTGGATATAGAATTTGCACATGCAATAAAAACCATCTTGTCCAGCAGACTGCCTTTCTTGCTTTTAAATCTGACCCGTGTTTTAGGCCCCTATTTTCTAGTGGGGACCTGTTATGCACAGCAAAAGTTCAATCAGCCTTAGGAGTTCAGCTTGACAGGAATAATTACCAACTGTAGGCTTGCAAGACTGCTTCTTTGAAGTTTAAGTTCTTCTGAATTAATTGAAGTCATTAGTGATTTATTTAATTTTCTACAAGTAGGCATTGATTTGAAGGTATATATACCTCATATCCTTCCTCTTTAGCAGCCAGGTTCAGAAAACACTCTCGGACCTTTGTTTAATCAAAGACTAGGACTCGATTTGTATTCCATGTGATCAGTTTTAATGATGGCAGTACAAATAGAGTAATGGCTCATGAATTTTTAAAGTTATTCACTCCTTTGGCAAATATCATCTTGTATTTGTTCTGTACAGTGTAGCAAGCCCTGTTCCACGTTGCAGGCTTTAGTTAGGAACTAGAAATTGATTTATTAATTGAGTCCTAAATGAATCCCTGTGTGTGAAATGTTGTATTTTGGTAAGTTTAGATGGTACAATAAACATAAACTCAGTCACATATTGAATTGTACACTTAATTTGATCAGCTCAGATAAAGACTGTTAACCATGAAGGGCACAGTGGTTGAGAATGTTCTCTGGAGCCAGCTCATCTGCATGACATGGGCAAGGACAGTGTCTCAGTTTCTTCCTACAATGGTGTGTTGAGCCACTTTGCACTGACTTGAAAGAGCTGGCTGCTAAATATTTAGGGATTTTGTGAGTTAGTTGTTATATATAGTTATCATTAAAAATCAAGTTATGTGAACTTAGATCTTAATAAATTTAACGAAAAAGCAAAGCTTAGAATCAATCAAAACTCAACACTAATTCTTTTGCTGCATTTACCACTATTGTGCTCTGGAGGTTATTTCTGTGTGTTGCTTCTGCCTCCTGGAAATACTACATGTGGTCTACTTACTGATTCTGCAGTCACTGACTTGACACTGGTAGCTGAAACTTTGCCACGGTGGGAGTATTTACACCATAGGAATCGGCAAACACTACAAAATAGGGCCTACAGTTCTTTCCGAAAGCTGGTGTTAAACCTTTACCGGCACACCTTTGCTTGTCTGAAGATGGAGATAACAGCATTACCTAGCTCACTGTGCTGTCATTACAATCAAACCAGACGATGCTTCTAAAGGACTTAGAACACTGGCACTTATTAAGCACTGTATAAATATTTGTTTAAACATAAAATCTTTGGAGTAATGCTGGTATTTGTCTAAGCATCCATGGTGCACAAAGCAGTCTCCTTGTGTTAGTTGACTTGCTGCTCACATTGGTCCATGGCAAGATGATCTCCTTTTGTTGGTTGACAAACCAGAGCTCTGTGGGCATTGCAGGAGGGGAAGTTCTGATGACTTATTCAAGGCCTGCTCTGAACTTGAACCTCTGAAAGGAGCTTGACCCATACAGGGAAAGGTAACCAAAAGTCTGGTCTAATTGCCAGTGTTCTAGTGACTTAGGGTATGGAACACGAGCAGGTACTTGTTTGGTGGCATGGGGTTCGATGGACCCCATTTTGCCAACTGTCTCACTTCACCTTCACAGCCACCCATTTCAAGGAAGAGCAAACTGAGGTTCAAAGAGAAATCTTACCCTTGGTCACACAGCTGCAAAATGGTAAAATTGGGTTGGAACAAAGACATGTCTGACGGCAAAGCCTTTCCCTTTCCCATGTGCCAGCTGTGCTAGTGGTGTGTCCCAAGGCTGGTGGCAGCATAAGTGGCATGACCCGGGAACTTGTTAGCAGTGCAAACTTGTCAACAGGACTCCACTTCAGACTTGCTGAGTCAGTCCCAGGTGGACTCCCCACGGTCTGTATTTCAGCAAGGCCCCTGGGTTTGAGAGCCACTGTTCACATCTCCAGTCTCTGACTCGTGGAAAGGGAAATGTGTTTAGAGTGAAATATGAAACGCTGGGCACAGGGGACACTTGCCTTGAGGCAGAGGAAGCACAGCTGTCTCGTCCCTGGGGGAGCTGCTTCCGGGCTCAGCCCAGTCAGATGCACAGGGCAGGGACTCTAAGGACCCTTGACGGTTCCCTCTCTAGGCAACATGTGATCCTCTGAGACCAGCACTGGACAGAAACAAAAGCCATTAACGCTGCCATCGGCATGAGATATTCACCCGGATCAGGGCTCAGGCGAGAAACATAAGCAGATGAAGTGGGTGGGTGGGCAGCAGTGGGGAGCTGTGGGGACCGAGGGGACAGAGAGCACTGTCCCCAGACTGTGGCACAGCAGAAGCACTCAGTTAGGGTGTGAGTGCCTGGGAGCAGCAGCTGCCACCGAATTCTAGCTGATGGGTCCCATGTTGTCAGGGCGTCTGGTTTCCACTCCTAAATCTTGATGCTGGAAGTATAGATTTTGATGAATCTTTGAATTTTTAAATGTTGACAATGGAACCAAACTGCCATAAATCCTCTGGAGGACACAGAATGTGTCTGGGAGCTGGCTTAGTCTGCAGCCTACTGGCTTGTGGCTGAAGTCGACACTGATGACTTTTCTTAAGATTCTCAGTAAGTTTCTATGGTATTAGTTTTATCAGGAGCTCAGAAAGTGGAGATTAAGGTAACTAAAAATCAGGTCTAACTGCCACGTGTTCCAGTGACTTGGGGTATGGAACACGAGCAGATGCGGGCTTGGTGGCATGTGGTTCCATGGACCCCATTTTTCCAAGTGTGTTTGAGAATCGGGTTGCCAGATGAAGGTTTGTAGGCATGTGTGAAGCACATTAGGTCCCAGGGGACTGGTTGGTCCCAGGCTGCACTGGTTGGCTGATAATCTGTGTCTGTTGTAGACTCCAGAGAGAGGGTTCCGGCTGCACTGCTGCCACCCACCCCTAACTGGGTGCTCCTGCTGTGCCAGACGGTGGGTCAATTCCCACCCGTGTGAACCTCTCTCTGCTCCACACAAGCTGAAGCCCAGGTGGCATCCAATGCCCGCAGTGGGCCAGTGTCACAGACTCCATCCACCATGCTGCGTCCTCCAGGGGTCTAAACTATAATTCAGTGATGTGTTGAAAGAGAGTTGAGTTCTTCTTACTTCGCAGCTGGAAATATGATGTGGCTGAGGGAGGTTGTTGCCTTGTGTCCTCTTTGGGACGGAAGGTGTGAGTGCGCTTTCTGCTTCCTCCTTAGTCAGCGGACCTTCAGGAGGTCATGTTCACGGCTCTCATAAAGGACCGGCCCAAATTTGTCCGCCTCTTTCTGGAGAACGGCTTGAACCTGCAGAAGTTCCTCACCAATGACGTCCTCACCGAGCTCTTCTCCAGCCACTTCAGCACCCTCGTGTATCGGAACCTGCAGATTGCCAAGAACTCCTACAATGACGCCCTCCTCACATTCGTCTGGAAGCTGGTTGCAAACTTCCGAAGAGGCTTCTGGAAGGAAGACAGAAATAGCCGGGACGATTTGGATGTGGAACTCCATGTATGTACTGTCTGCTTAAATTCTCCCATCTTTTGAGTTTTCTTTGAAAAACAAACAAACAAACAAACAAAAAACACCTCTATCTCTGTCTTTCCTACTCCCTCCTCATTGCCATAAGGTGGCCAACAGATTGACATAACATTTTTTTCTACTGCCTTTATTTTAGATGCTATCTGGTGAGTTTTCTGATGTTTTGCTCCATGCTCTGCTTTAAACTGGTCGCAGCTTTTCTTAATCATAAAGCTTGGTGCAGCATTCAAGACAGTTAGTGGGGAGCAGGGGCAAACGAATGGCTGCTGGCTCACTTCTTGGTCTACCCGGCATGAGCTGGTTAAAGTACCTCCCTGCTGCCCACGTAAAGGACTGAAGAACTGCTGGGCATAGAAGGGACAGTGACTATTTCCCAAAGGATAATCCAGGTGTCCACTTGAAAGGGTGTGTGGGTGTGCTCCTGGGCTGGCTTGGGTCCTCCATGTGAAGTGCAGGCAGGCCGGGTTCCACTGACCAGCACCAGCGACTGTGGCTAAACACTTGCGCTGATCAGAGCCCAGTGACTGGCTGGTCGTGCCTGGGGCAGTGTTCTGCCTGAACTTCTAGAGCTGCCCAGTGGAGCGGATCTCCAGTACCCACCATGGCAGCATGCTTGATTCCACACTTTTTGTTGATGTCTCTCTTTTCATGTCTCATTTCCTCACTTTCCTACTGGTTTCTTTGGGATCATTTCCCAAACAACCAACTTACCTCAAATTCTTATCTCGGGATTGCTTCTGGGGAAACCCAAACAAGGTCATTATCTTTTGGAATTCTGGGACTTTTAAGTGTGTGTGAGTTAAAAATCTGAAGAAGCTAGGTGTTCTCAGGAAGTCGAAGTGTCCAGAGAGCTTCTTTTGGACACTGTTTATGTGAAATTTTTTTTGCAGCACAACCCCTAACTACACATTATGCATTTAAGACTTTGGCGGAACATGAAAAGAAGTCGAAAGGGAATATATATATGTTTTTTATCAGGACAGGTCTTGAATCTTGAAGACCAGCTGGGATTCTAATTGATGTATTAGGAGTCAAATCTTTGAATAAGAATCCAAAGAAAGAAGCACACTTTATGTTCTGATAGTTGAACTTTAACCACACGAAAGTTAGAATTTAATCTGAACAATTTTTTTCCCCCTAGATGAGAGACAGAGTTATATGGTGAGAAGGAATTGCTTTCTCTCTGGCTTGTCAGAGGTCTTTTAGTTTTTAAATTGCTCTTAGCACTTTTTTTCACTCTTGATACCTTTTCTTCTAGTTGTACTTTATATTTTATGATAGATGAAAGATTTCACATCAAATTACACCCCCTGGAGGGTGGCAGAGATGGAAATCGCGTCAGTCTGCTATTCCAATGGCCCAGCCACAGAGCCTCCAGCACAGGGCGCTCCCCTGGGCTTCCTGACCCCCTTTTCCTGTGCACCTGAAGTGATTTGCATCTGCACAGCTGACCCTGTGCTCTGCCCCCTCCCAGGATGTGTCTTTCATTACCCGGCACCCCCTGCAAGCTCTCTTCATCTGGGCCATTCTGCAGAACAAGAAGGAGCTCTCCAAAGTCATTTGGGAACAGGTAAATGTCCAGCTTGAGTTCACACCAAAGGCATGCTTGGTTGTAACAATTCTGACCTCAAATCTCACGTGTACTCTAAAACATCACCAAAAAAAAAAAAAAAAATGGCCACAGGCTGCGACTAGTGAGGCCAAATTAGCAGATTCTGGTGAGAGACGATGGGGATTAGGAAAATAAAAACTCACTTTTCGGACTCAGATTTTGAAGATAATGGCTGGGATCAGGTGGAGCTCTACTCTCTGATGGAGAAGCAGGTCTAAGAATTACATCAGCCATCTTTATTTATATGTGCCTCATTATCAGATTAAAGACTGTACAAGCATTATTCTTTGTATTCATGAAAGGTACAGAGTTAGCAACATTATGAAGCTTATTCTGCTGTTATATTCTACAGTTGCGATGTGCAATGTTAGGAGCTTTGTGCAGCTCTCAAGAAAGTCCATTGTTTAGGGGCTGTGGTTGTGGCTCAGCGGTAGAGGGCTTGCCTAGCTCGTGTGAGGCCCTGGGTTCGATCCTCAGCACCACTTAAAATAAAATAAAGATATTGTGTCCATCTACAACTAAAAAATAAATATTTTTAAAAAAGAAAGTCTATTGTTTAAAGTTACCGTTAGGCAGGCAGGTTCAGGAGCTTGGTGACACATTGTGGCTGTCTAGCAAGAGAGTTCCTCTATTCCCAGGAGCTGTGTGCCTGAGAACACGGTTGAGGCTGATAAGACTCTAGCATGGAGCCTTCTCATGGAGGGTGTTACCATAGCAACTAGACCTGCTGCCCCTTTGCACAGAAACTTTCCCAGGCACCAAGCATGTGACAGTCATTAAGTCGTCAGAGACTCCAGTCTCAGACACTGCTCTCCCATTCTCTGTCACTGCTCCTGCACTGCAGATGCCAGGTGGTCATGGCTGTGTGTCGTGGCTGGGCTGCATGTTGATGGAGGTGTGTTCAGGAGGGTGGTCCCTGGAGAGTGGGCTTGCCTTGGGGGGCACCTAGTGGGCACCTGATTCTCAGTGTGTGTGGGTGTGTGAATATTTCCTCAGTTGGTAAGGATTTGAAATCTAGTTTAAAAAGTTAATTTTTGGCTTTATTGCCTTATGAACAGGAAATAGGGCTTGTAAAAAGTCTGCTTTGGAAAAATTATTGAGAATTTTATGTGTGATTTAGCACGTGACGCTAGCTTCTCCACTTTGAGAGCATCAGGTTGGGTGTGGACTACTGAATTCACACATATGGCCTCTGGTTACATTGTTCAGGTCCTTTATGTCCTTACCCACTTGTCCCCATCTTGGGGCTCTTTGTGCAGCCTGACAAAGCTGTAATAGAGGACTGGCTGCCATCCCCTCTTACTGGCAATTTCTCGGGGCATTTATCTTGATGTTTTTCTTTTCCTGCGCTGCTTCTTCATCTGAGTAGCTTCGGGCTCGAGGTCGCCCCGTTTAGGACTGACCATATTCAGGTCCAAGACTCTTTTGTGCTCATTACGAATTCTACTTTGAAATGTTACACATAGTTGGGACTTTGCCCCTTCCTGCTCATGCTCTGAGTTCATCCTTGTTCACCATTAGTGTCCACTCAACCGCTTCAAGGGATTCTGAGTTAACCTAAGTTTCTCCACCCTTTGAAAAGACCAGGGGCTGTACTCTGGCAGCCCTGGGAGCCAGCAAGCTTCTGAAGACTCTGGCCAAAGTGAAGAATGACATCAATGCCGCTGGGGAATCAGAGGAGCTGGCGAATGAGTACGAGACCCGCGCAGTGGGTAAGTCACAGCAGAGGGACTCCAGGGGAGGTGCAGGTGGACCAAGGCTCAGACTGGAGTGTCTGGGCTCTCCCTGCTGGCCTCACGGAAGGCTGCAGACCCATGCAGACACCCACGCAGTGTCCAGGCTTCCTGCTCCAGGCACTTGGGACTTTTCCAAGAGTGAATGTGAAAATCTTGAGTATTACCATTGCAAAGCTACCTGGCTCAGGCCTAAGTAGCTCAACACCTCAGGAGGTTTCACGGTGTTTTTTGTACATAGTTAAGACACTGTGAACAAGTGAGTCTGCATTTCGTGTAAACATAAATGCTCTCAGAAGACTTCAGGTCCCTGGGTCTGATGCAGAGTTGGTTTTAATGGCAAAGGCAGAAGTTGGGTTTCTAGGCCTCAGTGTCCCACAGGGCGACTCCAGTGATGGCTGGCGAGCAGGTCCCTGAAGGTAGGAGCCTTGGAGCTCCAGGAGGGCTGGGGGAGATCAGCCACGGCCTGGGATAGCAGGCATTCCTGAGCCGTCCTCTCCTGGATGCCTCGGGACCGGTCATCTGGCTGCTCTCTGCTATCCAATCCTTAATCAAAGCTGGTCAGGGCCCTTTTGGCAGAGGACAGGACCCCGTGCGAATGGGAGAGTTGGGAGCAACTGTCATCCACCGCAGAGAGCTCTGGGTCTGCTCAGTGTCTCCCTTGTTCCTCTGCAGCTTTAAGTTTGCAGGGTGACATCTGCATGACACCTTTGTCTACTGTCTAATCTAACGTAGCAATGCGTTTAGCTTCTTGGTGTTGGAAAAGAGGTGTGAAGCCATTTCTTTCAATATATTGATTTCCAGGTGACCTCAGGTGGCCATGGTTTCTAGTATTTTTACTTTAAAACATTTCCTCCGAGGTTCTGCCCAGCGGTCTCTGTCACTGAGCACACCTGAATGCTCCAAGTCAGTGTTTCCTCCACCTTCTATTGTTTATATGCTGTGACTTATCTGTGAAGAAATTTTACCAAGAAAGCTCAGAAGCCCAGGGGATGGAGAGTCTGTGCTAGCCAAGGGGAGGCAGAGGGTCTCCTGTCCTTCTGCCTGGACCGAGACCAAAGCCCACCAACGAGGGAGGCTCCTGTGTCTGATCCCCTGAGCTCTGATTGACACCCACTATCACACTGGCCCTGCAGGGTGTGGTGCGTCTTAAAAAGCTCTGTGCTGGGTAGTGACTGTGTTGTGATGGCTTCTCTGTCCTTGGATTGGGGGTCGGCTGGGGGGCCAGCTGCTCCCCGAGGTGCCAGCCCTGATTCTGGCTTCCGTCTCTGGTGATGGTGCAGAGCTCTTCACGGAGTGCTACAGCAGTGACGAGGACTTGGCAGAGCAGCTGCTGGTCTACTCCTGTGAAGCTTGGGGCGGAAGCAACTGTTTGGAGCTGGCGGTGGAGGCCACAGACCAGCATTTCATCGCCCAACCTGGGGTGCAGGTAAACACCAGCCACAGAGCTAGGTGCCCAGAAATAGGCCTTGACATCAGATGCTATTAGCAGCTTTAAAAATATTGAAAATTAACCTTCTGCCACATAAAAGCCAATGCAGAGATGTTGGGGGATGATGTGGGAGGTGGCTGCCTTGGGTGGGGGCCGAGATGCTCGCTTCAAGAGGGGTACAGGAGTGTATGAATCAGCTTTCTGTTGCTGTCACAAAATATCTGAGATAATCATCTTATAAAGAGAGAATGCTTCCTTGCTCACGGATTTGGAGGTTCCTGACTGGGGTCGGTTGTCCCTGCGGGTTTTAGGCCCACGGCGAGGCAGCATACCTTGGTGGGAGGCATGTGGCAGAGGAAGCTGCTCAGCTCACGGCAGCCAGGAAGCAAAGTTAGAAGAGGGGCTGGGGTCCTGCTGTCCCCTTCACAGGGACACCCCTGGAGACCCACGTCCTCTCACTAGGCCTGGCCTCCTGGACATTCCACCACCTCCACTAGCACCAAGCTGGGACCAAGTCGTTAACACGTGGGGTGTGTGGGGGACCTTCAGTGGGTTGGGCCTTAGGTTTTGATGGGCAAGTGGGAGAGCGTGGTGGCTGTGGGGAGGCGTGTGTGCGGGCTCAGCCGGAGACTGTGAAAGGGCTTCACACTAGCTGTTACTCTCACAGTGACGGGCAGTAGGGATCGAGTAGAGAGACCTATGAATGGGCAGAGTCAATCCTGACGGCTTCTGCTCTGAACTGAGCAGCCGCCCACACCTGGTGCCCAGGCTTCCCGGGAGGGGTGTGGGCGTGAGACGGGGCCGGAAGGGCGGAGGAGCGAGTGACTGCCAGGCACACCGTTACACGCTTGGAATCACAGCCCTCGTGGAGGTGGTGTCCGCCTTGCTGATGGGGCTCAGGGCTCAGGGTTCTGGAATGCCCTGCTTGCACAGCTAGGGAGCAGCAGGCTGGGTTTGATCCTACGTGGGTCGCCTACCACGACGCACACGTTACGCGTGCAGCCTACGGTCTCGCCAAGTGTTTATGAGCCAGTCCACCTGCTCCTATGAGGGAGCTGGATCCGACACTAGCCCTGGGCTGGGACGAGGACTCAGGGTCTCGTTGGTCTGTTTTGGCCTCTGCTGCAGGGGGCGGGGTTGGAGTGAGGCTGGCCGGGGCTTGGGGTGTACCTGGCAGGCTGGGCTGGCCGCCCGGGCAGAGTCCCTCTGCTCAGGACCTCTCAGGCCCCAGCCCATCTTTCTGGGGTCTTGGATCTGGAGTCCCTGGGGCGACGGGCTGGTGCTCCTGTCCCAGGGTTTGGTCAGATGCCAGGTCACTAATGTTCACTGGAGATCCACCACTGGGCCCGCGGGGTCCCTGGTGGCTCCACCGGGGAAGGGACCTTGCTTCCTGCAGTCAGGTTGCTGTGTGGGGGTCAGACCATCGCTGGTGACCGTGACAGCCAACCAGCGCTGCCACTGGGGCCTAATGGGGCCACAGGGTGATGGCTTGGTATGCTCGGCACCAGCAGGAGCTGGGGAGTGAGGAGGTCTGACCTCTCATTGCCTTGTTGCCCATCCAGTGGGCCCCCAAGCAAGGATTGGCAGGCAGTGCGTTCCACGGGGAGTCCCTGGAGGCAGACAGCCGCGAAGTGCTGAGGAGGAAGCTCACTGAGGCCACCGGGGCTCCACCGGCTGGGACCACTGGAGACCCTGTAGAGTCGGCCTCCGTGTGGCTCCTCTGGGAGTCCTCACCCACTACCTGCACTTGCTGCTCCCTAGGGGCTGCTCCTGGGGTCCAGCCTGCCCCTCCTGAACAGAGGGTCACAGAAGCCCTCTTCTTCCTCTGAGTTTAGTGGTCCTCAGGCTCCGCCTTCTCCTTGAGGAGCTGTGGGCACTGCTGGCCAGTCCCCGCCCTCCTGGTGGGCACCGAGGAGACCCTAGCTTTCCCTTTGCTCTGCACCCCCCACAAGCTCCTCCCACTGTGGGGCTCTTTTCTGAGAGCTGTGGGTCCCTTGGCTGTCGTCAGGTTCACCCTCTCTCCTACCCCAGCTCTTTCTAATTTCCACCTTGGAGAAACAGCCCTGCCCCACCCCCAGGGGCCGGTACAGTCTGGGCAAAGTTTTGGGAGCATTTTAGCTTGAATTGTCATTGACCTTGGTCTCTTCCTTCCCGATTTCCATTTAGTTTCCCAGCAAGACTGACACCTGCCTGTGTCTAGAAAGGGATCCCTGGGGGCCTACAGACAAGACAGGGTTGGCCATGCCCGCGAATTTGTGATCATTAGAGAAGAGAGTCAGAAGGATACTGGTGTGGACTTACATAGTGAGAATCAGCTGGTTAAAGATCCATCGGTGTATTGAACTCGCACTCACGTGGCTGTTTGAAAGCTCACATACCCCAACTTAGAAGAAAACTTAAAATCAAACAGGATTTTAAGTTGTTCTCTCATAGCCCTCACGAGTCCAGGCAGCTTATAAGAATACTAACGTAGATCTGTTTTGGGGCGGCGTGGGGGCTGGGAGAGAGGTCACCTGCGTGAATCAAATCTGTGTTGTCTTGGGTCCTTGCAGAATTTTCTTTCCAAGCAATGGTATGGAGAGATCTCCCGGGACACCAAGAACTGGAAGATCATTCTGTGTCTGTTTCTCATACCCTTGGTGGGCTGTGGCTTCGTGTCGTTCAGGTAGGAACTGGGGCACCCCCGTGTGTGTGTGTGTGTGTGTGTGCGCGCGCGTGTGCGTGTGCGAGTGTGATGTGTGTATGCGCGTCCACACCTGCGCGCTCTTGGGTAAGGGATGGTTCACTGCAGGGAGGCTTTTCCCGAGTCTGGTTTCAGACGGCGGGTGGTGGGGTCAGTTATCTAGGCGGAGTTGTCTGGCGGGGTCAGTCCTGGAGCCCTGTGTGGTCCCTTCCTGGATGTGTGTGTGTCGTGAGGGCTGGACCCGACCGCTCCACCGCGTGCCTGGACCATGACGTCTGGCCTCTCCTTCAGGAAGAAGCCCGTGGACAAGCACAAGCGGCTCCTGTGGCACTACGTGGCCTTCTTCACCTCCCCGTTCGTGGTCTTCTCCTGGAACGTGGTCTTCTACATCGCCTTCCTCCTGCTCTTTGCCTACGTGCTGCTCATGGACTTCCACGCGGTGCCGCACACCCCCGAGCTAGTCCTGTACGCGCTGGTCTTCGTCCTGTTCTGTGATGAAGTGAGGCAGGTAGGAGGGCTGGAGGGCGCGGGCCACGTCCTCCTAGTGCCCAGCAGAGGGGAGCCGCTGGGGAGCTGGGGCTCAAAGTCAGGACGTCAGCGTCCCTGCTGGCTGGTTGCCCGTGAACCTGGGGTGCATTTGCAAACTGCTGGTGACCTGGGGAGATCTGCCAGCCCCGTGTTCTGCCCTCTGCCTGTGGCTAATCGATGACGGTGGGTCAGTCAGGGGTGGGGTGGTGTTCAAGGGACAGAGACCTTGGTCTGCAGCCCCTGCCATTATCAGGAGTCATCCGCGTTCCTACCGTGACTGTCGCCCTGGGAGGGGGCAGTGTAGCAGGTGGCAGGGTATCCGGGGGGACTTTCCAGCAGCTAAGGGCATCGTGATGTGCCCTGTGTCAGAGCAACAGCGTTTCAAAGTCAGGGGCTCCCTGTGGGATTCAGGGAGTCGGTGTGAAATGATGATTTGGTTTTTGTTGGTTTCTGGGCATCTGTGGTTTGGGGGCTTCCCCTCTCCACTGTTGAATCCAAAACTTGAGCCCTGGCCTCACCTGTCGCAGGTGCTTAGTTAGTAATTCTCAAAGAGATCATGTTGATGGTGAAGAACCTGTGGGAAAAGCCGTCTGAGAAACCCTTCAGATCGGGGCTCACAGCTTGTTAGGAGCTGCTGTTGCCGCCACTGCTGTGGTCCCTTCTGAGCCCAAGCCTCAAAATGTGTGGGCTCCGCAGTGTGTGCCGGGCCCTTAGAACGTACGGGGTGCTTGCAGTTTGGGGACTAGCAGGCCCAGTGATAGAAGATGCTGTCCTGTCCGTCACAGGGCCCTGAGAACCCCACGTTGGTCTGAGCAGCCTTTCCCTGTGTGGGTGTGTGGTTTCCAGGACCCCCGGGTTGGGAAGAGTCTGAGGGCGTCTGTTCTCAGCAGGGAGCATCTTGATCCATGATGTCTGCCAGGTGGGAGGAGTGGGAGGTCCTGTGCCCGGAGGTGGGAGGTTTGGGTGGGGTGGGGATGGGTGGAGGCGAAGAGGAAGGGCTGAGTGACCATCAGTGCTGGACGTGGCCGATTGCCGGGCTGTCTGTCTCCTGGAGCTCTCCCAGGTCCTGCCAGGGGTGCAGAGCGTTTTCCCGACTTCCCCATGGGAGCCCCATGCTCTGCCTCCTGAGGCCACGGCCCTGTCCAGGTCGTGCTTTGGGATGGTTTGTAAGGCTGTGGTGACAAAACACCGTGGCCTGGTGGCTGCAGTGGCACGGGCTCATTGCTCACAGTTCTGGAGCCTGGAGTCTGAGGTCAGGTGTGGGCGGGGCTGGCTCCTTTCCCCGGCTTCTGTAGTTTGGGGCCCTCCTTGCTGTCCCTGGGCCTGTTGGTGCAACACTGTGACCCTGTGTCACATCCCTGTGGTGTCTTCCCTGTGAGCCTGTCTGTGTTCTGATTTCCCCGATTCCTGAGGACAGCGGTCCCTTTGGGTGGGGGCCGTTCTGCTTCACCCGACTCCCTCCTGACTCACTCAGTCACGTCACCATGACCGTCCAGACGAGGTCCTGCTCTGAGGTGCTGAGGGTTGGGACTTCCATTTGGGGTACATGATTCAGCCCATCACACGGTCCATGCGGTCTGCAGTGGCCAGCCTTGTACCTAGTTCTACTCTGACTTACTGTGTGGCAGCAGCAAAGGGAAGCGGGAAGTGAGTCACGAGGACGGGGAGGGAGCAGGGCACCCGGAGGTGCTCCCTGGCATCAACGTGCTCAGGGCAGCCCTCCAGGTGGAGGGGACCTTGGTGCCTCATCTTGGAATGCTGGTAAACAGTAAGAAATGCTTTCCTGCTTCCTCCACCCTCATCTTCTCACACGTCCCCCCGCCAGTCTCATCCCTGACCCTGCTCCCGTCACATTAGGACACAGAAGCGCCAGGCAGGTCCTTAGGCATCTACAGGAACCATGAAGCTGAGAAAAGGGCGTGTTTCTGTTTGCCGTGGAAGGAAGAGCCCGGCCTGGCTGGGACGGCAGGGAGACGTGCCTAACTCTGAAAGCCCAGTCCCTTTTCATGTGTCCTGTCTTTCACCAAGGATTTAGTGAGCACCTACTGCGTGCCAGGCCCTGCCCGAGACCCTGAAGGTACAGAATGAACCAGACAAATACCTGTGTGCCCGTGGAGCTTTCCCACTTAGGGATGACTGGTGGGGTCACCTCCAGGAGCTCTCGAGGAGAGCTGAGTGGGGGCCAGCACCGTAGGACAGGTTGGCCCAGAGGAACTGCTGCGATCACAGACATCTCCATACAAGCATCATCTGTGCATTTAGCCACTAAATCACCTGTTTGGACTGTGGGGGGAGACCCAGGCAGCTATCCTGCTTGGAGAAGGCCTGGGGCAGGTTAGGCTGAGAGCAAGGAGGGCTCAGGGCAGGGACATGGAGTGTGAGTGGACAGAGGGCAGGGGGGTAGGAACATCAGAAGGGAAAGTGGGCTAGAGTCATCCCTGGGGCTGCTGGAGGAAGGGAGGCCCGCAAGGCCAGAGAGCCCCTACCCTCTGCGTCCAGAATGGGGGTGCTGGGTAGGTGGTACTGAGGGTGTCCAGTCAGTGTTCCTGATCCAACACTGAGCCTGTGTTAACTCAGTGGTCCTGCCCACGGCGGCTGCGTGGCCTTGGATCCAGGGAGTCCGCAGACTGTAGCTGTGAGGGGCTTGTTGTTAAAGAACCTGCCACTTGGGGTCGCTGTTTCTCTTCTTTTCTGCAACCGGTGCCTTTGGACTCCTAAGGGATTAGTTTCCCCCAGGAAGTGGCTCTGCTGGCCGGGTGTGGTCTTCATTAAACTGATTCACACTTGTGAGAGGAAAACAACCCCAAAATAGAGGCCACCTGATTTAAATTGTGTCTGGGAGTCAAAGAGCCTTGCTCTGTAGGTCTCCAGGTGACCTCGGCCTGGGGGCAGATACTGATGTGCTGACTTGGGGTTTTTAACCAGGACAGTCAATAGCACGGCACAGTTGCTAAATCACCTGGGCTCTGCTAAGCGGGCACCATGAGTGTTTGCTTAAGATGGGGCAAGTCGCCTGTACCTTCACAGAGAGCACCATTCAATCTCGAGGCCCACCGTGTCCCCAGATCCTGAGAGAGAACCTGAAACACGGTGCTGGTAGTTTACAAATTCAGTCTGCCTCTGCTCTTACAATCAGAGAAGAGGCCTCCTCTCACTGATGATGATGATGATGATGATGATGATGATGATGATGATGAAGAAGAAGAAATAAAAAGAGCTTTCTCCCTGCACTGGTTCCTGGAGCCCTGGAACTGGCCTAAGGTGTCTTTGCATGAAGGCCAGGGTGACTTCTGAAGGTGACCTGGGCAAGGTCGTGTAGGCTGTGTAGGCTGCTGGTATCTGCCTGGGTCCCGGAGGAGCAGGGGCAGACCAGTGCCAGGGCAGACCCTCGTCTCACCAGGCACAGGAAAAGCAATTTGCAGTTGGAATCATGCTGGCCAGCTAGGTGGACACCCCTGCCACCTCCCCAGTGGTCAGTTCCCAGCACGCGGTCCATCCAGGGCTGCTCCAGCCGTGGCCTCCCACGGGTACTGGTTCCCAGCAGCCTTCTCTGTTGCCCACTCAGCTGCTCTTTCCACTCACTCATGGGGAAGGAGGTGCCTGGGAAGTGGGCTGTGCGTCTTGACTCCTCCCGGTGGGAGCTTGAGGGGCCTGGAGATTGAGAACAGGGAGGCCTTGCTCAGGGCGGCGCCTTAGCCTCCAGGCCTCCGTGTCCCCGTCAGGGTAGAAAGCAGGACCCGAGTACCGGCCATCTCGGGTGGAGAGATGAGTGGGCCTCGCCCTTCCGGGCCCTCTTTGCCATGGCTTTTTCGGTGTGCACAGTGAATATGGTGGCCCTTATCTGAGCTTACTCCCCGGTGGACTTCTGTCTTCTCTCCCCTCCTCTTCACATTTGGTTTTAACATGGTTTACACCTGTCTTTCCATGGAACAGTGGGCTCCTTGAGGATCGGTATTGCACCCACTGATCTCTCTGTGTCCCAGGAGGCTGGCCCAGGGCTTGCAATCCTGTGGGCCCTCAGGAAACATACTTGGAGTAGGAGGACAGATGACAGGTTAGAGGACCCCCCTGGGACTCCCCAAATCCAGTCTATGGTGGCTAGAGAGGCGTCTCCTCCTGCATACCTTTAGTTAAGGCCTTTTACTGTCATGTGCCAGACAAATCTTACGTGGATACGGAAGCCGACAACGAGCCCAGCAGGGGGTAGCCCCTCTATAACTGGGAGGTGTGTGACTGGGCTACTCACCGTGCAAGGTGGCCCCGTGCTTCCCAGGTGCCCAGGCAGGTGGTGCTCGCCCTCTGTGGCTTCATCTTGAAGGAGCAGAAGGACCAGGAGACCTTCCTCCTGACAACATGAATAGCAGAGCCGCTGGCGCCCAGCCCAGCCTCGGGTCCCCCGGGTGGTGGGGCGGGTTAGGGCTCTCTTGGCACAGAGCGGACCTGGGGGAGGACGGGAAGCACACGGTGGTCCCAGGCTGCTGACACCTGTCTCTTCCCCTGGGCTGCAGTGGTACATGAACGGGGTGAATTATTTTACCGACCTGTGGAACGTCATGGACACGCTGGGGCTGTTCTACTTCATAGCGGGGATTGTATTTCGGTGAGTCATCCTCATTGCTTTCCCTGATTTTCGACATTGTGGGCACCAAAGTGGAGAAAAACTCTTGGGACCCTCTGAGCCCATGGGGGCTGTTGCTTGGAGTCGACTGGGAAAGGCCCCCGTCAGCCTGGTCAGCCTGGTCAGCCTGGTCAGCCTGGGCAGCCTGGGCAGCCTGGGGTAGCGTTTCCTCTCTTCCCTCCCGGGGGTCTGTGATCTTTCCTTTTGGCCTTCTAGGCTTTGGGGAGAGGGAACTACACACCGAGGAGATAAAGGGTGACGAGGATGCCGAATACCTTAGGCTACTGGTTCATTTGGGGTGTGTAACCTAAGACACGTGTGACCTTAACCTGAAAACCGGCCACGGAGCCTGTCCTTCAGCTACCAGCACAGTTCCTCAATCCCGGAGCCAGATGCGTCATCAGACAAATCCAACGCTGCCCCTGAGGGCCAAACACCAGCCGCCTCCCTGTGGAAGCGGTTGGGAAGCCCCAGGCGTGGTCCGTTGCCCACGTCCCTCCAGGCCAAAGGGGAGGCTGCTACATCGACAGGCACACAGGGCGCCACTTTGCAGAGGAGCCAACCTGCTCCCTTTTGCCCCTGTGAAGACGGCGTGCTTGCCCTCCACGGCTAAGGGGCGAGAACGCCATTTCTTCCTCAATCCTTCCTGCTGGGGTTGAGGGTCTCAGTATTGACAGGGGTGTCCTCTGGTAGCAGGGCGGAGCTAATCAGTGTCAGGGAGACCCAGGTGAGTTTTTGAGGGAAGTTGGCAGAGCCAAGTCCAGGGGTTGGGGGTGGGGTTGGCATCATCCTGGACACCTCCCTGTGAGCCAGGAAAGATGGCAGGAGGACGTGAGGACCAGGGACAGGGAGGCAGGAGCCTCCAGAGCTCTTGGGGCCTTCTTTGGCGCCCACGTGGCAGAGGGCAGTGGTGGTGGTCCTGTCCTGTTCCACACGCTCAGCTCCTGGCTCTTAGCCGCTCCCTGACGCTTGGTTACTTTAAAAACTCGACGTTGTGATGCTTTGTCCACATCTCACAAATCTGTTCCCCTTCTCTCCATAGGCTCCACCCTTCTAATAAAAGTTCGCTGTACTCCGGCCGAGTCATTTTCTGCCTGGATTACATTATATTCACCCTAAGGTTGATCCACATTTTCACTGTAAGCAGAAATTTAGGACCCAAGATCATAATGTTGCAGAGGATGGTAAGAGTCAAGAGTCTCTCTAGCCACGGTTCTCTTGCTCCGTTCAGTTCTACTAATGATTGACAGGAGGATTTCTCCCCTAACATGATGGTTGCATTTCTCAATCAGTGATGGTTGCTTTCTTCCATGTGTCCTCATGAAGGGTGTCTCCCAGGTTGAACTTCCAGGAGAGACGGCTGGGAGTAGGAAATAAACACCCATGTTCAGATGCACACTTTACAGTGTGCTTCCAATGGAGTCTGAACAATTTGCTAAGAGCGTGGGCAGGGAGGGGAGGATGGGAACCTGACCTCAGACCCTGGGACACATGCAGGGAGGACCCCCCACGCTCACATTGCACCAGAGGGGAAATCACACATGGCGCTGGCTCCCTAGGCTGATTCTCCATGTGGCTCAGACCTCCACTGTCTGTCTTGCAGTGAGATGGATCTGGATGAGCTCATCTGGACGTTCCTTTCCAACACCGAGGCTGAGCTTGTGGTTTTCGCTCAAAGCATATCTGAGGCAGGGAGTCACTATGAAGTCATGCTGTGTGTGCAAAAACTTAAAAAAATCAAATTGTCCATTCTTGTCTAATAAGAACTGCTTTTGTTTCCCAAGGAAAAGAAACCTACAGAAATAATTTAGGGGTTTAAAGAATGCAAGTACGTGAGGTCTAGACACAGAGAGGTCCTCCCCATAGGTCTTTGTATGTTCTTGAGCTGGGCTGTCACTCAGCGGCGGGTGCTGAGCTGGTTTGGAGACTGGTGGACACACATGCATCCTTCAGGTTTAATTCTGGAAAAGCGTTGTCCCCAGACCCAAAGGTGATGCCGGCCATTTTTTAAAAATTAGCAAGCGAGCACAGGTGACCTAGAGTTTCAGGGCCCTGGGACCAGGGCTAACTGAGAACAGCCAGGCTGCGGGCCCCGCGGCCCGTGGGCGCGGCCCCGACTCTGATGTCCTTCCTTGGCAGTTGGTCGATGTCTTCTTCTTCCTGTTCCTCTTTGCCGTGTGGATGGTGGCCTTCGGGGTGGCCAGGCAAGGGATCCTGAGGCAAAACGAGCAGCGCTGGAGGTGGATCTTCCGCTCGGTCATCTACGAGCCCTACCTGGCCATGTTCGGCCAGGTGCCCAGCGACGTGGATGGTAAGCCGACGTGGCTCAGGTGGAATTGGGCTGGGAGGAGGCCAGCGGGAGGCAGCCTCCGGGGCTGATCCTGACCGCAGTTCCATGTGTTCACTGAGCGGGGGCCAGAGCGACGGACTGAAAAAACAATCCCCAAACCTGCTCTTTACTCCTAAGCAGGATTCTCCCTTGTCCCCAGCGTCTCACTTTTCAAACCTTTTGAAGAATGATTTCAGAGTAACGTGGCGGCTGGAGGAACCCCGCTCACGAGCTGTGCTTTCCTACAACAGGGTAACGGGGCACCTATTTGTTTCAAAAAGAGCAATGTTGAGAAATTTGCTCTGAACCTGGAATTTGAACTTTTACATCAGCCCAGTGCCAGCTGGTTTGGGGAGGCAGCGGTGGTGGCCCGGTGGCTTAATTCGCCCATACCCAGCGCATGCGAGCAGAGCAGGGCGTGTGCTGGTGCTGGCAGTGAACTGTGTGAAGCATCTTTATGGTGCTGACATCAGCCCAGCCATCATTTCCTGTCTGCCCGCCATAGATGATGCTGACGGCCTCCTGGAGCCAGCGCCTGCCCTGATTGGTGGCACCTCTCGGTGTCCTGTGGCTCTCTCTTCTTCAGTCTCTCCGGCCCCCTGTGCTGGAGCCTCTTCCAGGACGTTAGAAACACGGTTCTTCCTCCTCTTCGTCATTATTATCCCGTCTGCTCGCTGTTCTTGCTGTTTCCCATAAGCCATTGCGTTTGTCCTCGGGACGGTCCTCCATGTTGGTGTTTTGGTCCCACTTGGGAGCATACATGGTGGCCAGTGGGGCAGCAATCTCGGCTTTTAGTGTGCTGTTTTGCCCTTTTGGGGGCGACTCCATCTTTCTGTCTCAGTCTCCCCACCATGAGCTCAGCTGTGCACCCCAGAACCTCATGTCATTCTTGACCCTCTTCTGAGTCCACCCCAACATCCATGTCCTCAGCTGGCTGTGTGGACTTTGTCTCTAAGATGCTTTGACATCCTGCTGCGTCCCCGCCCCCAGCCCAACCTAAGCATCCCATTCTGTCTGCCTGCACCCTCCTCCCAACCTCCCAGCTCCCTCTCTGGCTCCCCGCCATCCACGCTGCAGCCAGATGAGGAGAGTCTGATGTGTTGTCCCCTGCTTAAAACAGTCTGATGGCTTCCTGCTGTTTTAGTGTAAAAATTAAAAAAGAAAAAAAAAGTGTGTCCGGTCGCTGGGCATCTGGCTCTCTCGTTTTGGGAGGGATGATGTCTTCAGTGATGCCCACGCGGCAGGCCCTTGGCTCTGTTGGGACGCCCTGGGCACCTGCTCCTCCCGTTCGCCCCCGTGGCTGGCTCCTGCCCAGCCTTCTGCTCTCAGCTCAGAGACCCTTCCCTCTGGGTGGACTGCCCCCGTCTGTGGCCTCAGAGCCCCTGTGCGTGTCTCACCGGCTGCACCTCTAGCTCTGTGCCTGGGTACCCGCTGACCCGTGGAGGCCATGGGGCATGTGCCCTTGCTTTATCTTGACCTCAGTGAAGTCCCTAAGGAGTAGGGAGGTAGCTCAGGAAGCATGGAGTGGAGGGACAGGTGACTCTGAGGTGTGTCCCTTGCTTGGATTTCCATGACCGCGTCCTGGGTCCCCGGTGTGCCAGGGCCCTGGGTCCTCCGGAGGGGCCTCACTGGGCCTTTGGTTCCACCCGCTCAGGTACCACGTACGACTTCGCCCACTGCACCTTCACCGGCAACGAGTCCAAGCCGCTGTGCGTGGAGCTGGACGAGCACAGCCTGCCCCGCTTCCCCGAGTGGGTCACCATCCCCCTGGTGTGCATCTACATGCTGTCCACCAACATCCTGCTCGTCAACCTGCTGGTCGCCATGTTCGGGTATGTGCCCACCCCGCGCCGGGCAGGCCAGGAGGGCCGTGAGTGCCGCAGCCAAGGGCCTCCCCGGAGGGGCTGAGAGCAGGGTCTTCAGGGCTGGGGCCTTAAAGGGACCGTACTTAAAGCACCGTTAGGAGCTGAGCCTTAAGTTGACACCAGTGGTGAGCACCTCCAGCCACCTGTGACAAATGGAGGCCCGGTGTTCAGCATCCATGAGCAGTGTCCCCAGGCGCCCAGATGCCGGCACCACGGTGACCCCGGGGGCAGCTCTGCTCCTCTCCGAGGTTGCTTGTGCTGTATGGGACTCGCTGGTGTAGATTCTAGCATTTACAGGAGCTCAGTTGCTGCTTTAAACGGTTCAGTTTAAATGGGAGTTCAGGGAGTGGAGCCCGGAGAGCGTCTTCTCTGGGGCGCATGTCTGATGAGGCTGAGAGGGACCTGCCAGGACCTGACCATGTCTTTATTGGCTTAGGCAGTTCTCCTTCATACACTTAGAAAACGCTGTTGTGCATTCACCCTTCATCTTCCCAGAGGGTTTCAGAGTCCCCTGTGGTGGTGTCAGTGGGGGGACTTGTCCCTTTAGGGTAGATGGTATTTCAGCCACACCAGTTCAGACGTTTACAAACAAATACACAAATTTAACAGATTATTTATTACAGCTTGATGTGGATCAGAACCCTTCAGTCAAAACCAGAAACCCAGAAGCTATGAATGACAAACTAAATAAACACATTTAGTTTCATAAAACAATTTTTTTTTTTTAAGATAAAAGAGAGCTGAAACGAAGTGGTAAAGACAGACTGGGGAGAATGTTTTTGATGCATATGGTGAACAAAGGCTTTTAATTCCTAATAAAGGAAGAACTCCTGAATTTATAAAAAGATGATCCCAGAGAAAAACTGCTAGAGACAATGACCGTGCAGTTCAGAGGAGGAAAATTCAGGTAGCTAAACGCATGTGAAAAGGAGCTCGACCCTCTGGGAGGGAAAGTTCAGATTAAGACAGATGCCGCTCTTGCACCATGGGATGGGCGGAAGTTGAAGGGAGCCTGTGGTGTCACAGACGAGGCTGCGAAGTGACATTGCTGCTGGGGCACACATAGCCACCAAGTCTTTGGAAAGTAATCTGATCATAGCTACTAAAGGGAAAAACACACAGACCTTTAATCAAACCTTCTCACACCTGGGAATCTGACAGAGGTGCATACAAAGGTGTTTCCTGGGTCATTTTTAATACCTGTCGGTAGGGGAATGATTGAATAAAGCGTCTTTTATCGGTACTATAGAATATTATACAATCCTTAAAAAGATAAAGTAAGTTCTGTGTTTATTGAAGGATGGCATTTTTAATATAAAAAACAAATTACAGACTAGTTTTAGGGTGTACTCTTATTTTCTAATCACTAACACTAATATCTTAAAACTTCAGTTATACATTTCACTTGTTACAACCACATATTGCTTTTTAATTTAGAAAGAGAACGAGGACAGTCAGTTGCTACACAGAGGCCTGAGGCTGTGAGAGGTACAGACTACACAGGAGGGTCACCTGCTCTGTTTGTCAGGGGCAGGCACATCTACGTGGGACATGTGCCTCTGGGGACATCACACGGAGTGGCCTTCTGGTCTCCCATGGTCCAGTGCATCCCTTGCTCTGCTTAGAACCCTCGAAGGATTTTATTTTAATTCCAGTCTCCTCACTCCCCCAGGGGGCTGTGTGACTTGACCCTGGAACACACCTTCAGGTCCCCTGCTGTCCGGTCTGCCCCCCAGGAAGGCCCCCTGTTCCTCCCTAAGCGGGGCCACCTGCTCGGCGCGATGCTTTTGTGTAGGCTCTGTCCTCTCCTTTCTTTCCCTTCATGAGCTCAGCCTCCCTGATGTCCTCTTTCCTTTGTGGAGAGGGTCCTTAGACCACGAAGCACGTTTCTTCTGGACAGGAGGCTCCGAGGGTGGAGATTGCGCCTTGATCTCAGCCCTGGGACCTTGTGGGTTTGGTGAAGGAGGAGGACAGTGTCCTTTGCACGCCCTGTTCACTAATCAGCTAGTGGTCACGAGGCTGCTTCCTGGTGTGTCACTGCTGAGGAGCCTCGTGGTGAGCAGCAGTACAGGAGCTCCGTCCCAAAATGTACAGCATCTGCTCTGTGCACGTGCCTGGGCCACAGAGGCCATGTGGCCACTGGTGTCCCAAGTTCTCCCAGAGGGAATGTGCCACCCTTTCCCTCCCACTCGTGACTAGGGAGGGACTCAGGAACACAGAAGCTTCTCCCTCAGCAAGCCAGACAGTGTCACCATGTCCAAATGATGTCTACATGTCAAAGGGGCCCACCGTCCCAGCCGGCAGAGACGTGGCAGGTGACAGGTAGCGATGTATCACAAGCAAGGGAAGAAGAGTGGGTCTCAAACCTGAGGAAGAGGGCGGTGGAGTGGGGCTTGGTGCTCTACAGTGACAACAGATTCCATTGAGCTTATCCTGGAGAGGTGCAGCAAAAACTGGAAGGCTGTGACCCGTGAGTTGCACCAGCTCAGTTGGTCTCAGCATCTGTGTTGCAAATTGTTCACAAAAGCCGTTTACGAGGGCCTTGCCATGTTTGTAATCCATTATCTACATCATGATCATGGATGGTAGGATTTGGAGTTCAGAGGGACGTGAGCCCAAACTGACACGGGTGGGTAAGGAGGTAAATCAGCAGCTCACATCTGGGCCAACCCCAGGGGTCTGGCTGGACTCGTCTCCTTCTGTGAGGCCCCAGCTGTGCCCTAGCGGTTCTTGCCCCTTTGGTGCTTCAGAGTGAGAGCCGGGGACCCCGTTCCTGGGAGTCCGGATTAGCCTGGCTTAACCCAGGGCCTTTTCCTATGTTACTCCCTGGCTTGAGAGCAGCTGGAGGGGCCATTGTGGTCCCTGGGCTAAGTCCTCAGAGCACTGTTTCGGGTCACTTTTAATGTTGCTCAGGGCTTACTGTATGAGCTGTCCCTGACTGTGACCTCCTTTAAAAACTCTACCGTGCCCAAAGGCCACCTTATGAAGGCACTGTACACATACCTTTGAGTCACCCAGGCAGGCTGCAGGGCTCTCGGGACGGTATTCAGTGGCAAAGGAAATGGTTGCAAACATCTGTGATTATTTTACGTTAAAATGCTCTGTCCCAGGCCCTGTGTGGCTTATCAGAGGCGCGAAGTGAACTTGGAGTGGCCCTTGAAGCACTGTGTCCTGAAGGGGAACTCACCCACTGCGGCTCTGGCCAGGACCCATCAACCATGAGGTCTAGACTTATTTCCGAGAATGATTACTTACAAATCTTAGGAACAATATATGCTTATTATCAACATGCAGAAAAGTAGGAGGAAGAAAATAATCCCCCGTGTAGACTAAAGGCTTGCTGCTACTTCAACAACATGAGACCTTATGACATGATATTATATAATATGATATCATAGATATCGTTATGATACGTTATGACATAATCTGATCATCATGGAAAAGCTGTTTACAGGGGAGGGAGTCGTGACGTGAGAGGGAATATTGGCAGCAGAGCTGGTGTCAGCAGTGACCAAGTGGAGGAGCCGTGCTCAGAGGTCCTGGTACCCGGAGCCCAGAGAGCCGTCGGGGCTGGAGAAGCAGGGACGATGAGTGAGGCTGGGAGGAGGTGGAGAGGTGGGCAGTGGACGCAGAAGTTTCTTTCAAAGACCCGGGCATTTCCTGCAGGTGAAGGAGATTTCCTGGGCCTCCACACAGGTGCGTGGCGCCATCTTGGTTGTGATAGCAACACTATGGACTAAGTTGAATTATCACTTAAAATCCAGTGAGTTGACATTGTTGGTGCCACTCCCTGCTGGGGCTGCTGGCTTCCTGCCGGCCCCTCCCCTCTCATCTTGGGATAATCACACTTATTTCCTCTTATCAGCCACATCCTCTCGGATCTTACCTAACCCACTTCAGATCCACCCACACCCTTGCCTATCCCTAATATAAAGTCACTTCATTTCAAAAATAGTGAAACTAGGACATCTTCACCATTTTCCCTGACTGTTGCTCAGTTGCCTTTAAGTTTCAGAAAAGATGGCGTATTCTTTTTTCCCAATCCCCACGTGATAATTGTGCATGTTTGTGGGCACAGTGTGATGTTTCACTACGTGTACATGGTGTGTAGTGATCACTCAGGATAATTAGCATATCCAGTTTCTTGATGTTGGTAAAACAAGTTCCTCTCTTTGGTTATTTTGAAACACACTGTTAATGGGAATGAGAGGGAACCGGATGTGTCAACTGCCCCCCACACAGCTGGAGGGCGCATAGGTGGCCCCCAGGCGTGGGGCAGTACTGGATAGACATGGTGGCTGGGCTGCCCAGGAAGGTTGGGATCAGCTGGGAGCTGGGAGGGGTGTCCACTAAGCCACGTCCAGCTGACCCACTTCTTGTGCTTCGGGTTATCCTGAGGTCCTGCCATGGGATCAGCATCTACTCTTTCTCTGTGAATTTTGCACAGACTTTGCATTCTGGTGTAATCAGTCTTTCTATTCTGGTTTTACTACCAAATGGCTTTCATTACTGAAATGTTAATTTTTTTAATCATTTTAACATCTGTTGTACAAGTTCTCATTATTCCTATTCCAAGCTTTCCTGGCTGTTCTTGTGTATTTAATTGTGTGGAGAAGCTCAAAGCCCATCTTGCAAATCTTTTCTTTTTCCTTCCAAAAGGAAAAAAAAAATCTTGTGCATTTTACTGTGAGGATGCTGACTTTTTAGAATCATTTAGGAGAAGTCGGCCTTACTATCTAGAGAGAATAGTTGATCTCTGTGTATTCAACTATATACAGTCCTCAGTAAAGTCACCTGGGTTTCTCGTGGGTCTGGCAGAGTTTTGTTGATTTATTTCCAGCCCCTTTATGATTCTGAACAGAATTGCTATTATGTTTTGTCCAGTGGCTACTTTCTGATGTGTAGGAAGGCTATTAACGCTCTGCTTATTTCTTTTAGAACAAGTCTTCTTCCTGAACTGTCTCTTGTTTCTTTTCTTTTTATCACATTCTGGAAGTTTCTTCTTATTCCCTATTTATTAAGCTCCTTTCTCCTTCTCTCTTTCCTAATCAGAAAAGGATGTTGGGCATGGCCAGAAGACTTTCTAGCAACATTGGGATCATATTTTCCTTTTGGTCTAGTGTTATGATGTATTATACAAATGATAAATCATAGAACTGTTCTGAATATTTAGCCATCTTTCCACCCTGTGGTCACGGCATATTATTCTTTTAACATACTTCTGGGTTTCGTTATGCACAAGGCTCTCTGAATTCTACGTGTCTGTTGTCTGTTAGGGACATTTCCAGGCTCAGTGGATTTCTAAGAATTTGGCCTTCTGTGGGGTTTTCGCTTCCTTTTCCTGCCCTGCTCAGCTGGTCTCAGCAGTTGACTTTGGTCATCTCTGCTCACCTCCAGCCAACAGAAGGGTTACCATGGGCAGGACGCTCAAGGTCACAGGCGCCATGGGACATGTGGCATTGAAGGGAAAATGGCAGGCTGGGGTCAGCGGTTGGCGGGGAGACAGGAACCATCCGTCGGGCGTGGCTGGTCCCTAGGCCACTCTTACACGTGTGTGGCCCTGGGGTGTGGTGTGCGCGTGCTGGCACCAGAAAGCCCTTCTCTGTGAGTACCCTTTGTCCTCTACAGGTATGACAGTAACGGCTAAACAATATATAAATTACTTGAGCAAAGCAGTGCCCAACTATCAGCCACCCCAGGGGGACCCTGTTCTATGTGGTTCCAGCTGGAACTGACTGGGGGCTGTGGAAGCTGCCTTCATACCGGGAAGGTGGACCTCAGTGTCTAGGCCAGCTTCCGCAAGGCCAACTAGGGCCCGTGGGGTTCGAGCAGAGACGCTCTTGGGATTGACATCCAGGCCTCTGCTAGCTCAGCCTTACCCAGTGGGAAGCCGAAGCAGGTTGTTACCATTTATGTGGGAAAGGGTGCTGGTTCTGGGATTTACACGTTCCTCTGAGTGCTGCTGTTACAACAAGATGTCCTTGGAGGTTTCTCCCAAGGAGGAAATGACCCAGTGACATGTGAGGCAGAGCTCTTCCAAAAGGAGAATGGAACAAATGCAAAGCCATGTTTTTCAGGCCCTGGGTCAGGGGTGCAGACCTGCTCTGTCTGGGCAACTGGGGTCTCTGCTTTGTTCCAAGCACCCAAAGAAGCAGTGCCCAGTGAACCTGCACCCATTTGGTCCCTCTACTCCTCTTGGCCATTCTTAACTCAAGGATGGTAAAAAAAACCAAAACAAACAGGTGAGGGGCTGGACTGGACCCTGGTTACGGTTTGCCAACCCCTCCTCCTGCAGCTCTAGAAGGTGCCCGATGTTTTAACTGACCCCCAGTGACCAGGTAAGCCACAGCGCCGTCTCTTCCTGTGTGGCCCTTCCTGGTAGCAGCTCTATTCTGAGCCCTAAGAAAGGGAGGGAGGCCCACCTGCCAGAGAGGCCAGGGCCCTACTGGAAGCTGCAGAAAACGTGCCTCCCTTCAGCCGGACTCGTGAATTTCTTTCAGATAAAACCTCTGCAGACAGCATCTGACCCATCGAAGCAGATGCAGACCTTTTTCATGTGCGTTGGTGTTTGGGCAGTCAGTATAATCCATTCTGGATGAGATAGGTCAAATTTTAAGATGTTTTTAGGGACAATAACTTGGGCCAGTTGTTTGGCACAAAGTCTGAAACTGTGATTTCTGGAAAGTTCTCAGGCTGGATGTCATTAACTTGGGAGGTGCCATGGATCTGTCTTACTGCAGCAGCAGCAGCAGCTGTACACGGTGTCCTTTGTGGGCATCAGAACCAGAGAAGGCGGGTAGCGCAGCTTGGTATTAGCTTCCCAGCAGCCTGACCTACATTCGGAAGAAGTGCAAGGCTGACTCTTGGATTCAGTGTGCTGTGCTATGACAGAGCACGGAACTGTCTGTCTTCCACCTAAAAAGATCTACCACATAAGGTTGGTGTGAAGATCAGTCAAGTGACCATTTTATAGGCCAGGCATAGGAGCTTTCACATAGTAGGTGTTCAGTAAACACAAACTCCTTACCCTTAAAGATCTCACACTGAGTGTAAGACACTTGGAAAGCAGAAAAGAGGAGAAAGGACACCAGAGGTAGTGCTGGAGATGCCCCTGGCTGGGGACAGGCCCCTTTCTCCCTGTGTGTGATTTTCATAGATGAGGTGGTAAGAACAAGTTCAAGGCTAGTCATTGTCCCGTACATGAATTGTGCAAACAGCTCTATAAACACAATCTTCAAAGCTGCTTGAAGAATCTTATTGATAAGCTTATCTCACAATATACTTTCTTACACCAGGTGGTTCATTTCTGCTGGTCAGGGACGAGGACAGCGGTCACCTGCAGTGCCGTGGCCAATACCCCTGTGTGTGTATAGCCATTGTCATGTTTTTTTCCTTGGTATCTCCTTCTTAGGTTAAATTCCCAGAAGTGAAGTCCCTGGGTCAAAGGGAAGGTCATTTTTAACAGTCTTGATAAATGCTTCAAACCCTTTCTCCAGACTGCTTGCATCAGGCATGTTTAAGGGGGGCAAATTATTCCTAAGGGGTCGACATTCTGGGCCTCTTTAGCTAACACAATAGCAAACAAGTGGAAAAAGAGAATCCTTGAAAGATCTTGAAGTTAAAGTGATTTCAAAGTTCATTGAACATGTTTTTGTGATTAGCAAAGAACAAAGCAACAGCTAGACACTCTGGGGGCCAGCGTGGACTGAAGGTGGCCTGGTGGCAGGTCACCTGGTCCTCGTGTCAGCGTGGACTGTGTCCCGTCTGGGCTTTGGCAGTGGTGGGAGTTGTTTAATGTCACTGTTATGGGGTTCGGGATGGTGGACACGTGCCGACGCTAAGACTTGCCTTTCCCCCTCCGGCCAGCTACACGGTGGGCACCGTCCAGGAGAACAATGACCAGGTCTGGAAGTTCCAGAGGTACTTCCTGGTGCAGGAGTACTGCAGCCGCCTCAACATCCCCTTCCCCTTCGTCGTCTTCGCCTACTTCTACATGGTGGTGAAGAAGTGCTTCAAGTGCTGCTGCAAGGAGAGGAGCGCGGGATCCTCCGCCTGCTGTGAGTGGCTCAGCCTCAGGGCTTGGGTTCAGGGAGGGACTCAGTGGGGGACGTGGGGTCCACATCACAACAGGAGGGATTCTCAGTTCCCCACTCAAATTAGCACACCTCTAAAGATGAGGCATGGGAAGATTGGGAAGGCATTATAGATCTGCTGGGTAGCCTTATTTGGGGGGAATAACTTTTGGACAGACATAATCATAACATAAATAGTATGTTAATTAAATAGGTAAAACAATTGAACTGACTAAATAGGATATTGAAGTAGCAGAGTTCATGGGATAGTATCAAACTGTGACTTTGGTTTTGCATTTCATTGGTACACGAAATTCATAGCCATGGCTTTAGTAGGGTGCATGACTTTTTGGGTTGCTTATCTTTGTCAGCTTTCCATCACTGTAATGAACTACCATGAGGCAATTAACTTATGAAGAAGAAACGTTTATGTAGCTCACAGTTCTGGAGGTTCCATTCCAAGATTGGGTGGCTCCATTACTTTGGGCCTGGCGGGAGCACTGGGTGGGCAATGTCAAGGAGCACATGGTGGAACAAATGCCTTATATCAGGAGCCAGGAAGCAGGAGTGATTCAGAGACGGGTGGGTCATCCCCTTGAAGGGCGAGTTCCCAGTGACCTAGGCCCCACCTATCAGAGGTATCCCCACCTCCCAACAGTGCTGCCTAGCTCTGAGGGTCTTGCTGGCTGGACATGGGGGCACCGGGCGCTGGCTTCTTTGGCACTGGTCTCTTCAGCAGCTGAGCCCTCGTTGGCTGTACCTGGAGAGCCTTTTTCTATTCTTGCCTGGCCGCCTTGCAAAATTTCCAAGTCTTTCTGTTCCTTTTTGTTCATGATTCTGGCTGTAAGTCTGGCTGAAAGCAGCCAGAATGTCCGTGCTCCAGCCTGAGTGCATCCTCCCCGGCTGAGCCAGTTCATCCCTTCCAGGCGTGGCCCCCCTCAAAGTCCCAGGGGAAGACAAACACGCAGAGTCCTTGCTGTGGTGTAACAAGGGTGGCCTCTAGTCCGTCCCAGGACAGCCCCCCTCCCATGTGAAGCTCTGTCTTCGCTGCCCACTGTCTGTGCACATCACTCTGGTTTTCTGAACACCCACCAGAATTGCCCGCTCCCCCGGACCCCTCCAGACTCCCCTGTAGGCCACATCCGAGGGCTGTCCCTCACCTTCAGGTGTGACCAGGCAGTGGCCGCCCCTCCTCACTGGCTTCCTGTCACTCTGAATGTCTGAGGCTGAACCCCAAAAGCTTTATTCATCCCGGTGGTGGTGGGTCTAGTCAAGATGGGGCAGCCCCACGGCTTTGGGCCTCTGTCCAGGGCCCTGGGTGGCTCTGCAGGGACCGTGTGTTGGAGAGGACCACTTACGTGGTGAACCAGGAAACAGCGCCTGGGACTGGGGTGCACACCCCCTCAAGTGCGTCCTCAGGACCTGAGGACCTTCCTCCATCTCTCTGCTCAGCTGTCCCTCCACCTCCCGACGGTGCCACCTGGGAGCCAGCCTGCAGGAAGGCGCAGTGCCACAGGCACCTGGGCTTGAGCACCCAGCATGGGGCCCCGCTGTCCCTCCCGGGTCCTCACACGCCCAGCCTGTGAAAGGAATTCTCAGCTCGCTGCCCTGTGCCCCACCTCTGAAGTCCACTGTCCCCATGAGTAGATTGAGGATCCGATTTTATTTCCATCATGGGAAAGGCCTCCCTGGGCAGGACCTGCGGGCGCCGCGGATGCCGTGGAAATGCACCGACTCGAATCCAGAATACGGCCTTTAGCAACTGGGGATACAAAGGAGCTCCTTGATCTGCATGAAGTTATGACTTATCCGGTCAGTCTAGTGGCCGTGGAGGAGGAAGGGTACCTTTCCCTCTCCCCGTCTTAGGTAGTGGCTGAGGCTCCTGGGAGAAAACACTGTCCAGCCACAGAAAAGCCCGGGCCTTTATTCCATATGGATTTCATGTGGCCCAGGAGCCTCCGGAGGAAGTGAAGGTCGGGAGAGACAAACTGGAGATTTATTTTTATAGTAGGGTTGATGAAGAGTGGAGGGTGTTAGGGAACAGGCTAGGGCCAGGGGTCTCATCTAAAGGGAATGAACTGGGGGATGTGGCAGGGCCCATGGCTCAGCCTCCTCTCTGGGCCCTCAACCTCAGAAGCTGGGATCCCTCTCTTCTCCCCATGAGGAGGGCCCATCTCACCTGGGCCCTTAGGCCTGCTTCAGAAGTGAGTCAGAGGGTCCTGTCTTGGTTTATGACCTGCTTCGGGGGAGAAGGGCGAGGGAGAGTCAGAGAGAAGGTCCCACAGCCGCTGCTCCCTAAATCCCTCCAGCTTGAAATGCCTAATATGCAAGGTGCTGTACTGGGGCAGCCTGTCCTGACTCCCACCATCGCTTATCCAAGGGCTGGTGGAAATGTTCTCATAAAATGTCAAAGAGGGAGAATTCAAGTTAGAAATGGAAATCGCTGGGTTCACGTACTTTCCAAAAGCAAGAGCCTACCGACTTCTCTTCCCACCATTCTCTTTGGGAGAGTATTTATGAAACCCAACCAACGTTTACTGAGGATCCGAATTTAAAGATAGACGAAGAACGAGGATGGATGGGAATTGTGGGTAGGCAAGAAAAGCTCATCATGGGGGGCACACCCCATCAGCAAACAGGAATTGGGTACCCTAAGAGCAGAGCTGCAGCAGGAGGCACCTGGTCCTGCACACGGACCGACTTCGGTTCTGGGGGCACAGCCATGAAAGTGGCCCATGGGGCTGGGCTCCTGGCCGAGGTCTCATGGGAGCCAAACCAGAGATGGGGCAGAGTACTGTGGGGAGCCTGTGGCACAGGGGGGAAGGGGGCCCAGGGGCATCAGTTCATCCAGTAGCTGGCGCTGTGGACACAGTGAAAGTGAGAGAGAGACTTTCTGTGCCCTCACCCAGGGCCCATAGACTAGGGGTTGGAAAGGAAAACTAAAAAGCCTTAGTTGAAAAGCGTGGGAATTGCTCTTTTTGAAGAATGAATGTGGGGGTGGGATAGCCCGTAAGGACCCTTAAGCCCTGCACTGCAGGGAAGACCTTCTAGAGGAAGGAATAGACAGGCCAAGACTCAGAGGAGGGATTGGAGTGGACAGGAAGAGGCGGGGCTGGGATGGGGCTGCAGTGAGGAGTGGTCAGAGGCAGGTCAGAGGTCAGAGGAAGTGGAGGGCTGTGGAGGCTAACATAAGGTCTATGCCTGTCCCCCAGCCAAGTTCTGGATCCCGCTGCCCCTCCCTGTGCCCCAGGCCCTGGTGCCCCAGTGCATCTTCCTGAATCCCAGAGGAAAAAATGTAGGCAAGAGACACAGCTAGAGATGGTGACAGGGTCACGGAGCGTGCCTTCCAAAACCTGGTGGTCACTGGGCCTGCTCTCTTCAGGTGACGTGAGCAGAGGACCTGCAGGCCTGCTCCGGGGCTGTCACGATCACCAGGGGACATTCTGCCTCTGAGTTCCCGATGCTCGGTCTTGTGACCTGGGAAGAGTAGCCCCTGAGGAGGGCAGGGGCAGATCCTAAGATCTTTCCTCCCCTGGGAGAACTGGTGGGGGGGAATGGTCTTCATTATAATGGAAAAAAACGGGCGTTGAGGACAATTCTTTCTATATTTCTATTGGTGCAAAATGGTTATACATAATGGTGGGATTTGTTGCCACACATTTGCGCATGCATGTGACCTGACGGTATTTCCCATCTCAGCTGAGGGCAGTCTGGACGGTGGAAATCTAAGGGGGAATCCGGTCTAAGCCACTGGAGGAACATGGTCAGCGTGTTCTGTCCTCCTCTTGGCTTTTTGCCGGGTGAGCTAGAGTTTCTCCCATTGCTGACTTGTTCCTGCTGCTAGGTGTGCGTCTCCAGTGGCTGCTGGATGTGTCGGGTCCTGTCCCTTCCTTGGTGTTAGGCAAAATGGTCGCTAGCTGCCCTCCCTGGGGTTCATGTTCCATATTGAGCAGAAAGTAAAAATGTGAATTTTACTAACCTAAACATGACAATTGATGACAACTAAGAAAAATTGAACTTGCCAAGAACCATAATTTTTTATAGTTTTTTTTATGTAGAAAAAGAGGCCAGATTTACATAAATATGGCCTTAAACATTGGTTTAACATATTTCAGGCTATCCCCAGAGCTCTAACCCCCTACAGACAGGCTTCCAGAATGTCAGTGTACCAATCACACTCCATAATGTCATGGTCACCTTTTATAGCAGCATTATCAAGGCACCAACTGTATCTTTGGGGATGTCATTTACTGTGACCCACAGGAAGTTGCCTTTCTGTAGGAAGGTGTGTTGACAGTTTGGAGAAATTGCTCTCTCTTCCCATAATTTTGCCTCAGAAAGCAAAGTGAGTCACTTCCCAATAAAAGAATGAAGAGTCTTAGCTGAGGGTGGACATTGGAAGTCCTGGTGTGGAATCTCAGGGCACTAAGACCATATCCAAGTCTCTGGGGCACGTAATGACGTTCCCTGGGCTGATGTGGCTCTGTCTCGAAACCATTTCATAGACGAGCATCCGCAGGACCTGGGAGAGGACTGGGGGAACCAACACATGCCGTAGGGAGGCTTATTAAGTCTCTTTTATTTGTTTTCCTCAGTGAATTCAAATAAAAAACCAAGCAGTGGATACAGGTCGCAGTGAGGGTGACTGTGACTCAGTGTGAAGAGAAAGCAGTGACTGCGTCTCGTGCTGTCCGGAAATGAGACGAGCGGCCCCGAGAGGCAGTGAATGGCCCCCCAGCACCGGGATTCAGGGGGCCGAGGTGGGCAGAAGGGCTCTAGGGGATTAAGGTCCATTCTCCAGAGGTCCTCGGCACTCAGCCCAGGATCCGGGGAACCAGGAAAATCAGTGTGTCAGGAGACCCAGCAGCCCCCCGATTCGGGCCAGGTTGAGAGAGCAAGATGAGAGCACCGCCTTCCCCACGCGTGTCCAGCGCTTAAGCGCCACGTGAGCGCAGCGCGGAGTCCCATCCCCCAACTGGCCCCAAGTGGGACAGAGCTTCAGCTCAAGGAAGCAAACAGATGGGCCAGAAACGGCCGATGTTGACGTGGCCCGTCCTGTGATGAGCCCTAGGGGAGTGTGACCGACCGCACAGTGAGCGGAGCACCTTTGTGAGCCGCGGGCATTCTGTTTCTTCCAGCAGTTCTTGTTCTCAGGAGGGAGCAAAGAGATAGAGGGAAGGGGAGTCCAGAGCAGGCCAGGGTCCTCTCCACCACAACGGCCAGCGAGGATGGAGAGCCAGTGTGCTGCTAGAGACGCCCAGGCCACCTGGTCCTGCCTGCTCATTTGCTTCTCGGAGATTCCAGAAACCACAGCATTCTGCCGTTGCCAGAGCCTCCTGTTGGCAACTCTCTTCCTCAACGTACTTTGCATTTGCCTCCAGATGATGGGGAAGTCATGGTTTAATTTTGAAATGGCCCTTCTTGGGAGGAAAGTGCAAGATTTGTCCAATAACTTTCAGGAAGGCTGAATCCAAACTTTCAGGTTTGGGAACACTTTAAAGTAATTAAAAAGTATGCTACTCAGTAATCGCATTTCTATAAAATATATATTTTTTGTGATTCAGATAGCAATCCATATTCATTACAGAACATTTGGAAAATACAGAAAATCACAAGTACAGATCAAGGGCACATGTAATCCCCCATTCAGAGATCAATATTTTCAGCATTCTGGCATTTATTCTATTACTCTCATGTGGATATGTAATTATTGAGTTATTCTATGCATATGCACTCTAATTGAATTTGTTTATTTACTAACATTACATGGTAAGCGTTTTCAATATCCATAAATTTAAAATATATAATAATTGTGAACTGTGGCTATATAATTAATTTAACCAATCCCTGGTTGTTAAACATATAGGTTGTTTTGACTCTTATTAGCATATGATATTATGATAAAGGATTTTATGCAATAATTTCCCAGCACATCATTAATTTTCTTTGCACATCATTAATGTTTTTTTCTAGAGTAACTCTAGAAATAATGATTTATAGAACCAGTTTTAGAAATCATTTCTAGAAAAGAAATTTCCAGATAAAGACTATGCATACTTTCACGCTTGTGCATTGCCTGTCCCACCTCCAGCTTCTCATCCCATCACCCCAAAGGCTGTAGTAGTGTAGACTTTTCCATCCTGTGGGTGGCCTGCTTCTCCACATCCTTGCCAACACAGCACGTAGTCAATATTTTAGACCCTCCTAATTTTGCAGTGGGATCAGAGAAAATGCTATGTCCTCAGGCCAGCTAGCGTTTCTTAAAGAGGTTGGTCATTTGTCATTCCTGTTCTCTGCCCACCCGTGGTCAGGAGCCTTGAACCTTTCTGGGTTGATTTTTAAGTATTTCTGTTGGGCTCCTGCATAGACTTTAGTTTGAAGAAATGACATTGCCAACTACTTTGCTAGGAAAAATACAATTGAAGAAAAATTGGGTAAGAATGACTTTGTAAAGTGAGTAATCAGCATCTAGAAATGAATTTGCTGTGGAGGATTTGCTTGAGTCCAGCCACTTGCATAGTGATCCTGTCTTTGGCCCTAATTAATTCTATTTCAATCCAGAAAGATATTATAATCCCTAAACTCTAATATAAGAATTAATACCTTTAAGTGGTAAGTTAAAAGTAAAAACTACATAAATCCAAGTGGCCACCTGCACAAACCTGTGCTTCCTGAATCCATGAGTTTACGAGGAGCTTTGATGTCCATTGTGGCATAGTACCTAAAACCTGGGTGGCATGATGACGTTTGCCTGACATCTGAAGGGCTCAGGCACTTCAACAAGTTGAACTAAGAATCTTATGGGGACTTGCTCCAGGCCAGTTTGGCAGCATGCCCTGGCTTACAGGGAAAGGCCAGAGGTAAGGGGTTTCTTTGAGGTCCACTCCCGGACTGCATGCTTTGGAGGACAGGAACAGTGCCATGGGCTTATGTTCCTCTCCCTCAAAGCTCCCACCCTGTTTTTAGGTTGAGAATTAGTGAACACTATTAATTATTCAACTGAGTGGTTGAGTGTTGTAATGTCATCAAAATGGAAGAGGAGAACCAAATTCATCAGTGGGATGATTTTGCTGAGTCACAAAACACAGAGACAGTGTCTGAGCAGATTCCTACTTAGACTATAGATGGCATTCTCACTTCATGCAGGCAGCGCCAATTCCTCAGTGTTACCGAGACATCATCCCTATTGCTCTGCTGCCGCGGCTAGTAAGTAGCAGTCACCAGTCGGCTGGTGCAGGACGAGTCTAATCCTCCTGGTTCCAGAGCCTCCCCAAATGCTTAGCAGGTGTTGATTTAGGAAGCAAGAGGAAAATGAAACAATTCAAACGTTTTTCTCTTCTTATTATTCAAGGTTTCAGAAATGAGGACAATGAGACTTTGGCCTGGGAGGGTGTCATGAAGGAGAATTATCTGGTCAAGATCAACACAAAGGCCAGCGACACCTCGGAGGAGTATGTCTGTCACTCATTTCCGCTCTGCAAGGCCCCTTTTGTATACGTAAGCTGGAGGGATGCAGGCAGCTTATGTGCATGCTCTGTAAGGCTCAGAAAAGCTTTACTGAGAAGCAATAGCACCCATAAAATATTATCCACCCCCTGCCTGGCTATCCTGATAGTCCTTCAGGGCCCTGGGGGAGAAAGAGGTATTTGGAGCATGGAACCAGGTACCAAGAGCCAGGCCTGCAGAAATTGCTTCCAGGAAGAACTCGGGCAATTGGCATTATCTTGCAGGGACAACTCACCTGTTTATCTCTGAGATGCAGAAGTACAGAGATTACAAAATGGAAACGTTTGGTTGATCTGATACAAGCTGTCCCTGAAAAGTCCTGACATCATTTTTGAATTGATGTCCCTGAGATCCACACACACAGTCACTACACATCTCCTAGATAAGCCCCAGCTCAGACTGTAGGTGTGCACAGAGTGTGTGCGTCCACAGAAGCATGCTCTGCTTATGAAGGTCAGCTGTCTTCCCTGACAGCTGCCACTCTTCCCAAGAGTTGAGAACATGCCTCAAATTTGCTCTAACAAAGTGTGAATAAATACAAGCACAACTAGTCCCTTAATCAGGTTGAACACAGCTCTCAGGAGGCAAGGGCAGCTCGCTCTTCTGAACAGCAAGGTAGGCGCCCAGAGGTGCTGGACTCTGAGATCTTGGGTGTGGAACTGGAGACAGACAACAGCAGAAGCAGCATTTATTTGCTGTCCTTCTGATTGGGGTGAGAAAGGAATTCTGACTCGTTTGGGTATTAGGAAGGAATTTAAAAAGGTAAATGCAGTGGACCCTTAATGGAGCTGAAAATGAAGAAGCTCCGGTCCCTGTCCTTGGAAAGACTCACACGGGGCCGAGGAGCCTTTCTCTCTCTCACTCCTCTCCTTTTCTCATTTCCTCACTTCTAGGATGAGGCATCGGTTTAAACAGCTGGATACAAAGGTACGGCTCTATTTGTAGTTTGGGGAGCTGGGCTTTTTTTTTTTTAATCTTTAATATCTTGGGATTTTCAACTAGAGGCAGTGGTCAGAAAACAAAAGAAGTTAATTATTTTTTTAAAAAATCAGATGCAACGATTTCATGCTCAGCTGTCTCCACTCACTGGGTAGAGCTGGGGGCTGCAGCTGGGGAATGGCCGCTCATGCTCCCGGACCCCATGGAGAGAAGTTCTGAGTGCTGCTTTCAGGAACTCCAAGATGGTGTGCGTCTTTATCTTTCTCTCTCTGATGTGGAGGAGATGTAGGCCACTCCAGGGAAGCCCCAGGAGCATCTGGAAGGAGCTTTGCCCCCAGTCTGCCTCCTTACCTACCTGACTGGGAGGGACCTGCCAGCCCGTGGGCACACGTGGGGACACACGGGCCGCAGCCGGCTGGGCTCAGCCTCAGCAGGAGCTGGAGTCGAGTCCTAAGTGCAGGATCCCTGCCAGGCTCTGAGGGGGAGATTTTGGGTATTTTACCCTGGTGCTTTGAAAATGGCATCTTGGATGGTGACATCTATGTACTCGCACGGTGTCGGGCCGTTTGAGAGCTGACGATACCCTATCTGGTTTGGCAGGACCCCCAGCACCCGGTAACCTGACACATAGGGGCTCAGTAGTGTTTGTGGAATGGATGATGAAGAAGCGCCGTGGCCCAGCTCATCTGGAGAACTCTCTGTTCGTGATCCTTGTTGACTGATTTGTGTAGCTTCCCACCCTTTAAACCTCAGGGCTGTTCATGGGCCTCTCCTGTTGGCCCCCTTGGGGCACCTCGAAGACCCGCGTGGTGGTCTGAGCCTGGTGCTGGGTCTTCCTGCCTCTCGAGCTCCTCTGTCCCTCGAGTTCCTCTTGCTCCCTCCCCTGGAACGGCCTCTGTGTTGGAGTAACTACTCAGGCGGTGAGGTGGTGGTGCTGACAGCTGAACGCATTGGTCACCATCTGGTTGTCCACTGCCGCACAACACCTGATTAGCCTATCGTGGGGGCTTCAGACAAGCATTTTCCTCATGGTGCTGTGGGTCAGGAACTCGAGAAGGGCTCAGCTGGGCAGTTCTGCTTCCTGTGGTCCCAGCTGGGTTTGTTGGGCTGGGTCAGCCGATGGCCAGGCCAGAAGCTGGTACCCACCACATGGTGTCCCATTTGCTAAGGTCTCCATGTGGCTGGGTATGCCACAGCATGGGGTCCTGGAGCAGCCCCCTGCTTATGGGAGGGACCTGCCAGCCTGGCTTCTAAGAGTGAGAAAGCAAGCCTCCCGTGCTTCAGAGGCCAGGCCTGCACTGGCAGGGTGTCCCTTCCAGTACAGTGTCCCAGCAGCCATGGGTCACCAGAGTCAGGTGAGGGAGGAACAGATGTGTCCCCTTGGTGTGGGAGTGGCCTGTACATACAGGAGAGTGGGCTGGTGGTGGCCATCTCTGGAGACTTTCTATCACACAGTAGCATGTCTTGTTGTAGCCACGTTGGTTTTCCTGAGGGTCTGGGAAGACCCCAAGTCATTAGAGCTGAGCACCTGTACACTGGTGATCATGCCAGGATGTGCCCCATGATTATAGTCGGAGGAGAGAGGAGAGCAAAGCTCTGCATGTTTTGAAGGAGTAGAGAAGACTATCAAGAAAACACATGAAAGACAGAATAGGAGATTGGATTCTAAGGTTGGGTATTTACATTAGACATTTATAGAACCTTCTATAATACCTGAATTTTTCCACATCACACATTTATATTTAAGTGTGTCATCTGCTGTATCTGCATGTGCACCACACGGCACAGAATGTTTTGCTGAGTACTTGCTATCTACCAGGCATTGGGCTGAGTCTCAAAGCAAACCTGGCCCCTGAATTTTATGAATTAATCCTTTATTAAACGGTTTGGGTAAAGGGGGATCATTTTCAAGTTGACTCATGTAGGAATAAATGGTAATATCAATGCTTGCAGATTCAGGCAGGCATTCAACAGCTTGCCTGGGAAGGAAGCAGGGTTGGGCAACTCTGAAGATCTAGGACAGAAGTGAGGATTGTTCTAAGAGCTAAGGAAGGACAGCAGTGGCCAGGAGAGTGGGGTGGAAGGATGTGGAGAGACTGGGATGATTGCATATAGAAATCCACTTGCTTCTGTGGAAAGTTGAATTTTACTTCCATGCAAAAGAAGGCTCTGAGGAGATTTAATACCAAGAGGAACGTGCCTTGGGTGCTCCTTCCCCCGGCACTGAGTTACAGCGAGGCTGCATGGGAAGGGCTTGGGCAATCTGGTGGGGCTGTCAAGGTGCTAGGCACTTGTCCAGGCCCTGGTGTTCGTAGAGACACTGTCTGTGTTAGTTAGTCATTTTGTCTTTACTTATGGATTTTTTTGGGGTGGAAAGCCAATTTAGGATTGTGATGAAGCTGCCCCACGCCACACCTCATCCAGACCCTCCTCTGGGACATGCACAGAGGGTGCCAGAAAGGAACATGGCCCGGGTCTTCTGAGAAACCCAGTGCCCTGGGGTCAGGAGAGTTGAGAGTGTTGGGGATACTGGACAAGCTGTCCAGACCCTCAGGTTGTTTGTGGAACTTGACCCCTAACCTGTGAGGTCACGGGGGGCGGTGGGTCTGAGCAGTGGGGTCATGGTGGTGGTGACCTGGGGAGTCACGGAGAAGTGAAAGCTGTCCCCATAAACACCTGAGCCAGGGATCTCTGTAGACCTTGAAGACGTGTCCCCCCCTGCATCCACCTGGATGGAGCTCAGCCCTTCTCTGGTTCCCCCCTTCAGCTAAAGCAGATGGGTTTGCTTCTAGGTTCTCTATACCAGGCATCTCATAGGTCTGGGCAGAATGGAGGCTGATCCCAGGAAGCCTCAGCTGCACAGCGCAGAGCCCGAGCTGCCTCGCTGCCTCTCCCCCTCCTCCCGTGTTGCCCTGACCCCCTTTCTTACTTCCTCCCCTGCCCCCCCACCCTGAACAGCAGAAGTCCCCTCCTTTCCACTTGCATAGTTTCAGGATCAGCTTTTGATGTTTTATTTCTTGAGCAAGGTTTTGGAGTCTTTTTTTCTTTTAAATTAGCTTTCTTTTAAAACGGTTTGATGGAGATGTCACTGACCTAGAAATTGTGTCTATTTACGGCAGATGGCTGGCTGCTTGATGCATGTGTGCCTTGTGAAATGATCACCGCCATCCAGCTCTTTCATGATTACTATGTGTGTGTGTGTATGGAGAGACTTAACGTAAGGCCTGCCTCTCGGCAATTTCACATACACCATAGAGTGTTGGTAACTAGTGCCCACATGCTGTCCAGCAGATCTGTAGCACTTCTGCATCTTGCATAACTAAACTTCATGCTGTTGGACCAACATCGCCCCATTTCCCTGACCCCAGGCCCTGGCCACCTCCCTTCAACTCTCTGCTTCTATGAGTTTGATTATTTTAGGTTCCTCATGAGAGTGAGATCATGTAGGTTTTATCTTTCTGTGTCTTGCTCATTTCACCAGGTGCAGTGCTCCCTGGCTCCATTCTCTGCTATTGCAGATGGCGGCATTTCCCTCCTTCCTTAAAGGCTGAAGACTTCTGCATTGTGCACATCCAGCACACTTTCTTTATGCTTTGATCTGCTAATTGACAGGTTGTTTCATGATTTTGGCTATTGCTGAGATAATGCTGTAATGGACCTGGTAATGCAGACATCTCTTCATAACCCTGATTTCAAATTTTCGGAAACTTACCCAGAACTGGGATTGCTGGATCCTACGTAGTTCTGTCTTTAATGTTTTGAAGAACTTCCATGCTGTTCTCCAAATAGCGATACAATTTCTGTTCCCATCAACAGTGCACAAGGGGTTCCTCGTCTCCACATTCTCACCAATGTCTGTCTTTGTGACGATAGCCACCCTGCAGGTGTGAAGAGGCATCTCGTGTGGTTTTGATTTGCCTTTCCCTGGGGATTTGGATGCTGAGCACCTTTTCACATACCTGTCAGCCATTCAGATTGCTTGTTTGAAGACGTGTCTAGTTGCATGGGGTTTATTTGCATTTGTGCATGGATTTCCTTACAGATTTCGGGTGCTACCACTAATGGACACATGGTTTGCACATGTCCTCTTCCTGGATGCTGCCCTTCCTCTTGCTGACTTTCTTGTGCTGTGAAGAAGCTCTTGTCTGTAATGCACGTGTCTGTTTTTCCTTTTGTTCTGTGCTTTTGGGTCTGTATCCCAAAAACTCACTGCCCAGAAAAAAGATGTGGAGATTTCCCCACGCTTTCTCCCTGGAGCTTTACAATTTCAAGTCTTATGCTTCATTTAACTCTTTGATTCATTTTTAGTTGTTTTTTTAAACCCCAATTTCATTCTTTTGCTTGTAGATACCCAGTTTCCCCAACATCATTTGACGAAGAGACTCCTCTTTGCCTTCTTGGTCTTCTTTTCAAAGATCCTTCGGCTACAAGTACATGGGTGTTTTTCTAGGTTGTCTATTCTGCCTCACGGGTTTATCTGTCTGTTTTTATGTCAGTCCCATACTGTGTTGATTATTTTAGCTTTGTAATGTATGCTGGAATTAGAAAGAATGTTGCCTCTGGCTTTGTTCTTGGGCAGAATTGCCTTGGCTACCTAGGGTATTTTGTGGTTCCATACAAGTTTCAGGCTTTTCCTCCATTTCTGTTAAAAAATGCTTTTGGGCTTTTGATATGGATTGCTTTGCAACTGTACTTTGAACAGTAGGGACATTTTAACACTATTTATTTTTCCAATCCATGAGCATGGGTTGCTTTTCCATTTGTTTGTATCTTTTAAATTTTCTTCATCAGTTATTTTAATATTTGGTGCACTAACTTAACTTTGGTTACCAAAGTCAACTCCTAGTTGTTTTATCCTTTTGGTTACTATGTAAATGATATTATTTTCCTAATATCCCTTTTGGACAGTTAATTCTTGGTGTATAGAAATGCTACTGGTTTTTGTATGGTGATTTTGTATCCTGAAATTTTATTGAATTTGTTAAATATTTCCAGCCTTTTTTTGGTAGAGTCTTAGGGTTGTCTACATATAATATCACCTGTAAATAGATTTGGATGACTTTTATTTCTTTTTCTTGCCTGATTGCTCTGGCTAGTACTTCTAATATTATTTTGAATAGCAGTGATGAGAGTGGACATCCTTGTCTTCCTTCAGATTTTAGAGGAAAAGCTTTTGTTTTCCCCCACTTAACATGGCATGATACGTCTCTCCATCTGTCTTTGGAGAAATGTATGTTTCTATGTAGATACATAGATAATAGATATAGATATGCATCCCTTTTATTGTGTCACAGTAAATTCCTTCTATGCCTATTTTGTTGAATTTTTATCATGAAAGAATGTAAAAAAATTTGTTATCTACTGTTTCTGCATCTATTGAGCTTGATTATGTGGTTTTTGTCCTTCCTTCTGTTAATGTGGTTCATCACATTGATTAATTTTCATATGTTGAATCATCCTTATATCCCAGACATAAATATCACTGGGTGTATGATCCTTTCCATGTGCTCTTGAATTTAGTTTGCTAGTATTTTATTGAGGATTGTTGTGTCTTTATCACCAGGGATATGAATCTGTAGGTTTTTTTTCTTCTGTTGTCTTTGTCTGGCTTTGGTGCCAGGGTGATGCCTGCTTCAAACTCATCTCTTCTATTTTTTTTTTTGGAAGAGTTTAAGAAGGGCTGGTATGAATATCTGGTGGGATTCACTCATGAATCAATTTGTTCCTGGGCTTTTCTTCCTTAGAAGTTTTTTTTTTTTTAAATTTTTAATTTTTTTCTAGTTGTTGATAGCTCTTTATTTCATTTATTTATATGTGGTGCTGAGAATCGAACCCAGTGCCTCACCCATGCCAGGCAAGCGCACTACCGCTGAGCCCCAGCCCCAGCCCCATCGGTAGAAGGTTTTTGATACCGATTCAGCCTCCTTGTCTGACATTGGTTTGCTCAGGCCTTATGTTGCTTCTTGATTCAGCCTTGGAAGATTGTATGTGTCTTGAGAGCCCCAAGCTAAACTGAGGCTCAAGACCAGAACTGTTAGGAACCTGCACTAAAGGAAACGGTGAGACGCTGGGGGAGTGTTCACAGACAGCGCCTTGCAGGGACAGCCGATCGCACAGCTGTCTGACCTGTCACCAGGGAGCTCCTGACATGGGGGACTTGTGTGTGCCGGCAGAGGCTCTGTGGGTCTTTGCTGACCATTGCTCTGGGGATGGGAGCTGACTATTCTTTCCAGCATGGGGTCTGGGTTGAGGAAGCCCCATTTGAAGACAAATGGAAGGTGTGAATTCAAGATGCCACCACAATAGGAAATGAGTTTTTTCTTAGTCTGAAAGCTTATCAATTTTTTTAAAAAAACACACACCAAAATCTCTTTGTTTTGCTGATTCTTTTAAAACTGTTTTTCTGTTCCTCATTTCATTTATTTTGGTCTTGAAGTCTTCTGCTCTACTTTAAACAGCTTATTAAAGTCAATTAACTATTTAAAAAAATCTCCCATAGGATGAAAAAATTTCTCCATCTCATTATATCAGAAACAAAGTTACTTACAACTGACCTTAAGTATGTAAATAGAGATCTTACTGTGCCCTATTTTATTTTTATTTTTTGTCAGGTATCCATTAGTCCTTATGGTTTCTGTTTCTTCTTCTTCTTTTTCTAAGTTAAAAGAAGAGGTTATTACTGAAAATAAGTCCAGCTTAAAGAGAGATTCTTTAAGTGAATGGTATACCAAGTTACTAAGCCAGATGTATAGAAATAACATTATGAGGGGCTGGGGATGTGGCTCAAGCGGTAGCACGCTCGCCTGGCATGCACGGGGTGCTGGGTTCGATCCTCAATACCACATAAGAATAAAGTAAAGATATTGTGTCCACCTAAAACTAAAAAATAAATATTTAAAAAAGAAATAACATTATGACCATGAACTTTAATCAAAATACCAATGTGACATGTAATTTAAAATGACTTCATACATTTTGTGTAATAGAGTTGTGAAACATATGTGCATAAGTAATAATTTTATTACACTTTTTATTTAAATCATGTTTTAATGTTTAAACTATTTGTGGGTGTGTTTGGGGAGGAGACTTCATTGACAAAAATTTTGATTTATTAGTATCATCTCATATAATTTTATCAGTATTATACTTTCACAAAGCAAAACTACTAGTATCTGATGATATTTTAGTATAATATTACATATAACATTCTTATTTTTACATCTCACTCCTTTGTATCCTTGCAATCTGTTTTTTTTCTGTGAAGGAACCACTAGTGATTGGCATTTGAGTAAAGATAATATCAATTGGTTTACTAAAATTTATAAATTTCTAGTGCTATGATCTCAGAAAGTAAGCAATAAACAGGGTTTGAAATTTCATGTGCTACTCTCATTCTTCCCTAACCTAGATGTCTGGAATTTGCTTTCAGTGTATCTCTGTTTTATGGAAAAGCCATAGAGCAATCATTTAAAATTGAATGTTGGAAAATTCATCTTAAGAACATATTTTTTTTTTCCCTTTTCAAGCTTAATGATCTCAAGGGTCTTCTGAAAGAGATTGCTAATAAAATCAAATAAAATGGCATGAACGTGTGTGGAGAAAAATCTAATTATGTCAAGGTGAGTTGTTCTAATGGGTTTTTTCTTTGGTCTGAAAATTTATACTTTAAGACGATTTTAAAATCATGATAATAATTTCACTTGCTTTATGTTATGTTATCATATTTGAAAATAAAGCATTGTGCAAAAACCGAAAACCAAATAACTTAGGGCTACAGAGATGAGCATGTGGGAGCCTGTCCCCACGTGTCCCTGCCTACTGCTAGCTGTGGGGCACCAGTAGCCTTCGGGAGCTTTGAAAGTGCTTGCAGCCTATTCCGCTATTTGACATGAATTGAAACGCGGTCACGCTGTTCTAAGACTTGCTACTTTTTTCTCCCTTAACATTATATCGGAGATATCTTTATACATCAGCACCTAAGATGTACATATCTTGTAATTCATTATTGTCTTTCTTGATTTGGGATATATAAATGGAGGGTGATCGTGTTTTCTAGCTCAAAGTGCTTTCGTGTGGTAGTCAGGGGTTTTAGCAATAGCTCCTCTGCACGGTGAGGATGTGATTAGGGGAACTGGGAAGACGGAGCTCAAGGCTTTGCTCCAGGGTCTTACCATGTTCTCTAAGTATGTTTCCTGTTACCTGTCCAAACCCTGGGACCAAATGTTAAAGGACGTGGGACGTTAGGGCAAAATAGCTGTGGGCTTATTACATTTCAGAGAATGGAAACAAAGAATCCCCCCCAACCCCACCGCCATTATTACTCAGCGAGTGGCTGCTGGGTGCCCGGAGCTGTGTGGTCACCCGCACTGACCCTCGCACTGAGGGCTGTGCGTTAAGCACTCAGACCACAGCATTTCCATCTGTGGAGTGGCTGTGCTCCGGGGGAAATCGTGGGGCATTGTGTTCCTTGCCATCCTTCTGGTCACTCAGCTCTTTTCCTTGAGTGCTGACACTTACAGATCATGTTAAAAGCCCTTCATTGTGGAGAGCTTTGTTAGAGAAAAATGGAGGCGTATCTGACATAATCTGAAAGGCAAGGACATCTGGAGCGCTAGGAACCAAGCTGCGGGGGCTGGGGTGTAGCTCAATGGGAGCACATTTGCCCACCATGGGAGAGGCCCTGGGTCCATGCCCTGCACTGAAAAATGAAATAAAACAATATAAATAAAGGAGTATAAGCCTTGCATATTCAGGAATAACATTTCAACTGTTCACTGCAGTGTTCAATGAAAATAATAGTAAACCTGGTAATAAATCATAACTTGGATTTTGAAATACTTGCCATTTTGTTTTATGGTCTAAAAGATAGGGGATAAAACCCAATCATGGACAGATACAACAATTCAGGGTGGTTAAGTGGTGATTAAGGAGTTGTAATAACCAGGAAAGACTCAAGTTCAGACCTGCATCCACCTCTGGAAGCTCTGGCTGTGGTGAGTGGGCGATAGATGGGCTTCATCCCTGTCCACTGCCCTCTGTTCGGCCACAGACCTTCAGTAGTATATTGAGAGTTAATTAAATGGTGAGCAGAGATGAACTGGGATGGCGTCACCTGGTTGCCGTGTGTGCCGGTGTATGTGAGCACACAATATGAAAGACAGACTGGGGTAAGACAGCGTGCGGGAGAACAGGTAGAGAGAGGTGTCCCACCCACCCTCAGCCACTGACATCTTTGGGAACAGTGACTTTGGCGCATCTAATTTTTGTGTACTTTTTACCTCTAGATATAAGATAATTTTTTTTTGGACATTTTCTGTCTGTTGTATCCTTAAGAATTTTGCTGAAAATTTGATTTCATAGGCATCCAGCTACAGGTGGTTAAAATGTTCCTCTTGAGGTGCTTCCTGATGCCTCTGTCTCTGAGGGGTCAGGTGGCCGCCTTTCCCTGGGCCTCAGTCAAGGGAACCAAAGCTCAGCTCAGAAGACCGTGAGCTGGCACAGGTCCAGGCAGGGCAGAGCTGACCTGGGACAGGCCTCTCCCAGTTCTCGCATCTCTATCCCCAAATCAGCCTTTCACCATCTCTTGGGAGGGAATAAACAGAGGGGCTGTGTGTTTCACACTGTGGGTAAAAGGAAGGAAGTCCAGGGTGAGAGGTGGCCATTCTCCACCCGCCTTGTTTGTACCTGAGCAGCGGGGCGTCTCCAGGAGCCGGGGAAGGGCTCCCTGAGATGGCCTCTCCCCACACAGCACTTGCCTTCTGACAGCCAGAGGATCTGAAGTTGTCCTGGGAGTCTTCTAGAGCTGCATTTGGGCAGGTTCTCCCGGGCTTCGCTTCACTATCAACTCCCTGTTTTTCTTGTGCAGAAACCACTGAGTAAAGAACGCGCTCAGAGACTTTCGGGGTCTTGACCTCGCTGCATGAGTCGAGCCTGGGCATCCTACCTAACTCTCGAGTTCACCCCAGCCACTGGCCAGAGCACACATCCTTCAGAAAGAAACCTTCTTGGAGCCACTTCAACACCAAAAGAAACCCCTCGTCTGTGGTGGGACGCGTGGCCCCTGTCCCACCGTGGCATGCCACGGAGCAAACCCGGCTGGCCTGGGAGCGGAGCGGGTCTTCCTACCTAGGATCTGCCTTTGTTTTCACAGGTGACGCCACTCTCCGGCCAGGCAGGTGCAAGGGAAGCTGGTCACCATCCTGCTATTGGCTGCTGAGAGTTCCCAGGTTCCTGGACACAGAGCGGGTGGTTCTTAGTCACCCCAGGGTGCCGGGACCTGAGAAGCAACATGAAGACGATGAAAGTGCGTCTGCCTCCGGTGCCCCTGCTCTGTGTCCCGAGCCTGCTGCAGAAGAGTCTGCCTGTTCTGGACTCATCCTCTTTCCCTCGCCTTTCTTACTCTTGACCATAAGCCTACTAGGAGAGCGTCCCCCGTGCACAGAACAGCTTGGCTGCCTGACTCCATGTGGTTTTCTTGTTTATTTCCAGTTGAGTCCTTACCGTTTCCTTTTTTGTATTGTGGGACTGATTTCTTGACATATTGTTAAAAGTCTCCCAGATCAGGTCAGATTCTAAAACGTGCTGTAGCAAGAGGACCCCGCTGTGCTCAGGGTGGGGGCTCTTTTCACTCCTCCTCCAGCTTCTCAGCACTAGGGCAGGGGCCCAGGGGTGACTCCCTCTCCACCTGGCCGGGGTTGCTGCTGCTGAGGGCTGCACTGCTCCTGACCATGTGAACAGTCACCGGTAGTGGACCCTCAAGAGGCGCTATGATCTCCCTGGGTGCTCCTCTGATTTATTATTTTTTCATTAAAAATAATACCTGGATAGAAACTTTAGACCACACAGAGATGTAGAAAGAACACCAACACCTAAAGGTCATCACCGTTCATGTTTGTGGGAGTTTCTCCAAGTCTAGTTTCTTTCTAAGCACATTTTATTTCCCTTTCAAAATGTTAAATAATGTCATTATATTGCATATATGGTTTTGTATAAGCTTTTCCACATAATATTTCATCAAAGATGTTTTCTTTATATTCATGGTATTCTTCAATGTTGTATCAGTAATTCCATGATATTCCACCTCTAGTGATGCCTCTACTGTTGGTCATTGAAGGCTGTTTCCAGTTGGCCATTGGGATGAACATTTTTGTGCATGAATCTTTTTCTGCATTGGGCCAATTCCTCAAGGCTTAGATTTCAAGGAATATCTTTAGTGATTATCAAACCACTTCCAAGGCTTTCTCATAAATGTATAGCAAATAGGAATTGTTAACTTGAGTATATGATATGAGACACATGAAGCTACAACTATTAAAATATCATATTTAATCCTTAGTTTAGGAAGAAGCTCCTATGCCTATTTAAACATTATGGGTGGTGAAGGCATTGGTATAGAGTTGAGAATTCTCTTACTGAGCACACGTAGTCCTCTCTTTTTCTGAAAGTGGTGGTATCTGAGCTCCAAAGAGAAGCACTGGAGGTGCATCAGGCAATTTAAATGCCATAACTGGTTTTTCAGCTTTGAATAGACTATAAATGCCATGGCTGAAGAAGGGAATCCTGGAAGGCAGCTATTCAATGAACAGCTAATTAGAGAAACCACATTGACCAAAAAAAGTTGAGTTTCATTTTGTATGGGCAATATTTAAAATGACTATTCACCACCTTTATAAGGTTTTCAGGGAATGAATTCAAATAGAAGGTGACTTTTTACGCAACCCCAGTAATGGCCTGAAAGGGAATAGTGTCTATCAGTTCATGGCTTCGGTGAGGGAAGTGGATGGGACAAAATTTACATGACAAAAATGGTCAATGAAAAGAAAGTTCAAAATTTCTCCCTTAGAGAGAGAATGTCACTTGCATGTCACCATGGCAACTTGAATACCTGCTGTTCTGAAACTCCCAGGAAGGTCGTTCCTCTCCATGCTGGTTGGAAAAAGGAACGCATTTGGCAAACACAAGACTGTGCAGGCCAAAGAGCGGCTCGGGGAGCCAGTCCCTCAATTCAGGTGGGGAATTTGAATGAAATCAGTAAATCAAGTCAGAACTCCCAGAGGTGAAGGTCAGTGTCATCTATTTGCTGGTCACCCCCTAGAGGACTTATTCATACGGTTTCTAGTGCGTCTCTTCTGCTGGACGTTTCTGCACAGCTGCTCGACGTGATTTTTGCTTATGCGAAATCGTTTCTAGTGTAACTCATGAAAACAGCACACGTATGGAAATTCCTTCCTCATTCAAAGGTGCTACATCCTCGTGTATGATCAGTGTGTTCTGTGGTCTTAGGCACAACTGGAGAACTCTGTGGCTTGATCCAAATGACTGTTAATAATTAAATAACAGAGGAATTGTCTGTCGTGTGTTCCTTTTGCTATTCTACTGAGAGTGGAAACAATAAAATTCTTTCATTGAGTCTGAATCATTTTTGAAGGGATTTGGTTCTCCGGAGTTACGTGAGCTGCCATTTCTGAGCGGGTGACTGGAACGTTCTGGTTGCACGCCAGTGGAAGGAAGCCCCCTGTGGTTCCGGTTCTTGTCAGCAGAGGCACTCTTTGGATCTTTGGTGGGTTTATGTTTAGGGACACATGTGTAACCTGAGTCTCCAGCTTCACTCACCTAGAGC